GCCTTCTACAAGAATTAAACACTTTTTTCAATTGAAATATGAATTGGATTTTTCTTTTAAATATTCGAAGAATTCTGAAAAAAGGCTTCGCAGTAATAGCGTTTGTGACTTTAAACACACATAAGTGCTGAATAGCTGAATGATTTCACTTTCTTGACTATATTAACCACCACCTGTAATTCGAATCAATATATAAATATAAATGAGCTGAACCCGCGGCTATGTTACTAGATTGGTACAGTTTTCTGTGTTTCATAGATTTCTTGTAATTAACTTCACCCACCCCCGCAGTGTATCAAATCAAGCTACGTTAAATTTTATGAACTTTTCACGACTTTAATTACGAGAAAAACAGATTTTGACCCTGGGCGGTGTAAGTTCATACACACTGAATTCAGGGTTAAGCGAATCGGACGTGTGGGAGGATCAAATCCTGTAGCCATACCAAATATTCTTAGGAAAGATTACATTTACATTTAATTACACCAAAGGGGGAGAGGGCGATAAATATAACACAATTTACACGCATAATACTTTCTTTAAGGGGGGGGGGGGTGGATGGCCGAATGTATGTCTACCAGCCGAATGCAAACCAAAGATTTTCAATTAATCTCCATACTACTTTCATTGATTCACAAAAACGTAGCGTTTGTCATTGAGCCAACTGGCGTGGTTTCGAACCCCCGGTTGTACGTGAGAAGGAGTAGGGTCGCCTGTCCAACCTCGTGGGTTTTCTCCGGGTCCTCCGGTTTCCACCCACTGCTAAAAACCCCTACGCGCAAGCGAATTATAGAAATGAAATTGAACCCTGTGTTAGTCCTGAAATGACTTTGTTTGTGTCGAGTGGACGTTAAACCCTATTTCTCTCTCCCTCTCTCTCTCTCTCTCTCTCTCTCTCCTTAAATCGACATTCTTTGCAGACGACATGAAGAAACGAGCGACACCTGTAAGTGTTTGGTAAAGTCAAGTCAATAGTGGAATTTGAAAACTAGATTTGATTTGGTGGATTCTGGGCTATATTTTGGGTGAGTAACATAAGTTACATAGGCCTAAAATAGAAATATTGAACATTTTACAAACTCAAAAACCTGTTAATAATATAAATGATCGCAATCTGAGTAAATCACAGATCCTATTTCGTTTTGTTTTTTTATTGTTTAAAATTTCGTTTTACTTGTCTTTACTACACAAAGATCTGGAAGAGTTGTTATATAACCAGCCTTCTGATTAATGTGAGGGATTAGCCAATGAAACGGTCTGTGACGGCGAGTTCTTGGCGTGCTGTGTACGGAACAGTGGGTAAACCACTAGAAACGTCAACACTGATTGATTAATCAATGTCTGACGTCATATGATCTGAAGCCGCTCGTATGAACCCTGATGGAACCTTCCACTACAACCGGTCAGCTCTTCATGTAGTAGAGGTCATCGAAAGTAGAAAAAACGAAACGAAATTATAGATCTGTAGTGTAATCAGATTGGAATGATCGAATTTCCTGTCGAACTGGTTGCACTGTCACCAGTGGCATCATGTATGTCTACCAGCCGAATGCAAACCAAAGATTTTCAATTAATCTCCATACTACTTTCATTGATTCACAAAAACGTAGCGTTTGTCATTGAGTCAACTGGTGTGGTTTCGATTCCCCGGTTGTACGTGACAAGGAGTAGGGTCGCTTATCCAACCTCGTAGGTTTTCTCCGAGTCCTCCAGTTTCCTCCCACTGCTAAAAACCCCTACGCGCAAGCGAATTATTGAAATAAAATTGAACCGTGTGTTAGTCTCGAAATGACCTAGTTTGTGTCGAATGGACGTTAAACCCCATTTCTCTATCTCTTTCTCTCCTTTATCAGTCCATAATGATTAAAATGAATCTTTTATTTTTATCTCAGATATAATCTTTATCTTTTAGTATGCACCCACGCTTCGACTTATACGAGACTTACAGTGTCTGTCTACAATTAACTCCGCTTGAGGAAAGACACGAAGTTGGTTGACTGGTATTTTAATTACAAAATCGACGATTTTAGTCGGAAACACCAAGTATACTTCGTCAAATTTGAGAAGTATTTATTCTGCTTCCATTTCATAAATTTTAAAATGTTTATTTTAGTTTTTGTATCCATGAAAGATGTAAAACGGATTACAGAATAGTATGCTATGTTTTGAATATGGCGGCGGTCAGGACAGAGATCTATTCTAAAAGTCGATAGTTCTCTGTGTGCAGAATGCCTTTCGGCTGTGTTATCATATACTATATAATTTAATTACCATATCTTTTAGTTCTAAGTTTGCGTTCCCTTTGCATGGGTTCATAGTTTTAGTTTATCAATTTGTCCTGCCTTAATTAACTTTTTATCTTTAAAATCTATTTTTTTATTATTCTATCGGAACATGGGTTCATAGTTTATCAATTTGTCCTCCCTAATTTAATTTTTATCTTTAAAATAATTTTGTTCATGGTTCTGTCGGAAACAGTTTATCTGTTTTTAAAAGTTGTGATGTCAAGTCAAGTGTAATATTGAATTTGTACGAAGTTGATACATTCACGAAATTATACGTGTATAGAAAGCTATGATTAATTCTATTGTCAGTCCATTTATCAGTAGTCTCTGTAAATGACATAATGCATTTTCGACAAAATTTCGTCGTGGTCGGACATATTGTACTAGTGTATTTGCTGAAGAATTCTCGAAGGATGTAAAAAATTCTATTGTGAGACCTTTTACCAGTAGTCTCTGTATCATGTATTTTCGGTAAATTTCGATGTGGTCGGACATACTGCAGGCATTGTTGAAGTCACTCAATATCCAGGCCATCAAATGATCTAGAATAGTGGAAGGAGTTGATTTTGTGAATAAACGTCTATATAATAATCTATGTTACTTTTTAAAACAGAGCCCCCGTCGGTATAGGCAAATTGAGATCTCGCACACTGCCTCTTTAATAAATTTCTATTGTGACATTAGAAAGAGAGACAAGATTCGGATCTTTATAAGTTTAGATGCTACCAAGACACTTGTTAATGCTTTGATCACCTCTCGTTTAGATAAATTTAATTATTTATTAGCTGGCATGAGTACAGAACACAGCAGCACGTCTATTTAACACTGTCTAGAAAATCTGACCACATCATAGCTGTTCTTAAATTCGTTACCATTTTCTCTTAGATTTGAACTCAAGATCTGATGTTTTAAAAATATATATACCCGGAAGACGTCGTAGATCCCTTGATAAGTCTTTTAAACCAAATGTCTGCCAAATTTTAACTTTTGGTCAACGTTCTTGTACTGTCCCTATTTTATGGAATGAATTACATAACCTCTTTATGTTACCTCCTGTACCACTGTTATTAAGAAACGGTCGAAAACACGTTTTTTTAAAAGGTCCCTCTTTATATTTTCTACAGGAATTTACTGGGTTATTAATATAACAAATGAAATGGATGACACAATCAAATGAGGGTTTAACGTCCTACTGTTCTGCGCCGACTGGACAGCGGCACTACGGTCTACTCTTTATTTCGAATCCCAACGCCAGTGAGTACGCAGGACCTCGATGTTACGTTCCATTCGAACGACTATACGCTGTCCCTTGTCTGGCAATCCGTGCTGCACCGCTGACAAGGAGGAACCACACCGAAAAACTAACCTTCCCGGCCAAACCCGCTCGAACACGGGACTTCCGGTTAGCAAGCCAACCAAGTCTTACTCTTACTCGCTGAGTCACCGCTGGTCCCATTATATACGACCTTATAATTTTTGAAACAACTGTATATATAGAAACCAGTTTTTAAATCAATTTTTAAATCAATTTTTAAATTAATTTCATACTTGGTGCAGAATGAAATGGTGGAAATGTACAATTAGATGGCCTTTAGAAAAATGGATATGTTCACCCGTTTACAACCGGGTAACACGCTGGGTCCTGTTTCTCGAAATCTTAACTAAAGATAAAATCCAAATTTTAGTAGATATTTCAATTTTGATTGGCTTAGCACTAAAATCAGTCTAATATTATCCAATCAAATTACTCAAATTTGGATTGTATCTTAGTTAAAATTTCGTGAAACATGCCCGGCTGGTATTGAAATAATATAAAACAGTCGAAGGGGAATAACTCTAAATATCAGTGCACGAAGAGAGACAGGAGCAGGTTCCATTAATTTTACCAACAAACGTTTTCTTTGCATACAGTTATAAACAGTTGTAGGATTGACAAAAAATATGCCCAGTGACGGGCTCATTAGCCGGTGGTTGACAAAGGCAGCCACATGATGATAGTTAGTATTCGGACACCCTGTTCAAATTACATTTTGTTAAATCCGCCAAAACTCTTCAGTCATATATAAATACAATAGATCTTTACGATAAATAACGAAGCTCTGTGACTTTTATTTATATTCTATTCGGTACAAAATGTTTTACTGTTAACGTGTTCACACGAACTTATATCGGGCAAATCAAGGAATCGAATTGGGTCTGGACAGCGAATTTAAACTAACATGAGTTCTTTTAGGTGTACACCAACTTGTCAGGAACAGGCACACTTTACTTTCAAGCTCAGCCGGCGCCAGACTAGAAGTGAAGTCTGATACCTAAGAGCAGAACTTGAACAATTCCTAAGGTGGTTCTCCACCCACGCTGGGATTCGAACCAGCAATATCTCTACCTGAGAGAATAGTGCCCCATAGCGCTAAACGGCAACGGGCCTTTATACAGTTGCAATAAAATTATGAGAATTTCATAAATTAGGCCAGATCTCTTCCAGAGACTGCCCCCGAGTGATCGTGTACTAATGCACGAAAATGTAATTATTTTAGAACAAAGACTGGTTGCCGTTTCAAAATAATTAATTCCTGAAGATATAAAATATAAATATAACACGTATTAATTTTCAAAAAAATATATTCATTAACTTTAGTTCTATCATACATATAAATATATTTACTAATAAATAATATACCTACTATAGTATATAAAAATAGATTTATAGCAATATTGAAAATAATATTAATGAAGCGAATTCATTGCATTCTACACCATAAGTGCGTTTGGCCTTGACTAATTAATATATTATTTCAAATCTAGAGGTACTGTAAGAAGATAGTGACTATGATTTTGAAATACGTTTATGTGTATATTATTTTGAGATCGAATTCTATGTATATAAACAATGAGACAGCTACATTATCAATAATCCTCATGTCTTATTTGGGAGAATTGTTTTTAGCACCAATGATATTATTTATTAGTCATAGATTCTCAAATAGATAGCACAATCATGATAAGGTAATAATAACAAAATTTAAAGTTTCATCGCGTTCTACATTTAACACTATCTTGCACGTGGCAGATATCATAAATATCTAGTTACATGATCTAAATCCAGTCACAAACATCGCCCACTCATCTAATCTTAATTCATATAATAATTCGTTCCGTATCTTTTTTCAACTTTTTCGGTTATTGTAAATTAAGACACACGTCCCTAATAATGGAAGCAATGCCAAACCAATCAATCTATACGTATTATATATGTTTTCATCTCGTATAATGTAATGTTCGTTTATTAATTGAGACACCATCCTTTTATGTTCCTTAATTAAAGCTATTCACATTTGGTGAGACATCATGCTATATTATTCGTTTATTAATTAATTAATATTAGATTTGGTGAGACACCATGCTGTCATGTTCGTTTATTAAAGTCAATTCATATTTGCCGAGACATCATGCTGCTTGTTTGTTTATTATTTAACGTTAATTCACATTAAGGTGAGGCAAAATGCTGTAATGTCCGTTTATTAATTAACGTTAATTCACACTTGGTGCCAAATCATACTATAATTTTCGTTTATTAATTAAAGTTAATTCACAGGTTTATTCTCCATTCGTAGAATCTCAACAAACAGGGGAAGATAAAGGGCGCTCTTCTTCATTCTTAATTTCAGGGCATCGTAGTCTATTTTGGTTTTAGTAGCTTCTTGTAGAGTGGTATATAGCTGCTGAAAATGTTCCACGCCCAGTTTCCGTTGTAAGTACGTATTAAGTGTGGACAAAGCGGCACTCGAACTCTTCATACCCTGTAACAACGCTTGGTACAACACTCGATTATTCTCATCATTCAGCTGACATTCTATAAATATAATGATAAATTATGTCAAAAATAACGTTCAATGCCATGTCAAGTTCCGTTCGGGCGAGTGGCGTTAAGCTCACTCTTTACACAGGCGCTTTTCCAGCGAGGGGGTGGATAGGTCCAAGGGGTCCGCCCCCGCCCCCGACTGCTCATGCAGAACATATTTTTCTTATCCTGTATATTCACCCAGGCATCTAGGTGCTAACATGAGCTGAAATACCAAACACAAGTTGGTAGAGAAAATAGTTCCTTTTTGATGTATTTTAGAAGGGTGTTGTACCAGGAAACTAAGCCAACTTACCATGTCTCCTGTCAATATCGGGTACAGACAGGCGAGGTCGATCAAGTGGAACCCGGAATGTTGTAGAATCTATATCACTTGATTCACTGCTTCTGGTGGTAGGTTGTGAACTATCTCCTTCTGACTGACCAGGACTAAAAACTTCATCCGAGCACCCTGAATCATTTTGATTACCAGATAGAGGGTTCAGGGGATTCTTGTTGATATTCATGTTACTAATTATGTGCATCCTCTCTCTACTATCTCGGCGTCTTGGTACTGGCGTGTCATTATTAGTGCGCTTCCAGCTTTTATCATTAGATATATTTCTTAAATCTTCCACAGAACCAGTGATTTTCATATTAGATCTATTTCTAGAATTCTGATCCTGTATAGACTTAGATCTGATGTTAGCAGAAATTCCAGATAAAGATTTTGAACGTATTAAGTTCTTCCTCGCCATTAGTTCATGTGCCATTGAAGCAGGGTTTGTCTGAGTAACCTTTTGCGCTTGCTGAGCTTTGACTTGCGGCACCTTTGGTTTCGGGAATAACGTCATAACCGGAGGCGGTCCTGGGTCCTAAAAAGAAAATGAAAGAATACATTTAGGTAGGGTCGTTAACATTCTGAGCACGTCAGCTGTTGATGTCACCACAAAATGAGATTTGAATACCACTTCTTGGTATTTAATGTTCAATATTCTACGATATTGCGAAGTTTATTAACCCCAAATAGATACATTTTGGAGTTCCTTACTACAAATAAACATTTTTAAAAAATGTGTATCAATGTATCAACCGATAACCGAATTTTATCGCTCCAGATTAATACTATAAAATACCTGGTTGCCGACATTTAGTTTCATCCCAGGTTCACAGGAGAAGGCCGCCCTTTGTTTCTTAACAATATCCTTCATATGTGGCGATATGGTCATCAATCGAATCTTCTTAGGATTAGTCACACAGTAACATGTTGCGGAATCTGAGCAGTTCTCTGGTGTTGTCTACGAAAACAAAATATAAAAAAAATATTGCCCAGTCGCTTTGGTACCCTCTTCTGGGCTAAAATTGTCACATTAACCTTTGCTTTGCCCATCAATGCTACAAATTTAACACCCCCTACAGAGAAGTCACATTTAACTAGATCTACTTTGATACATTTAGTGGGCTGTGGTGATATTTGACACAGTTATTTTCATTGCCGGACTCTATATATTTGCCAGCCAATCAACACTTAAAGCAAAAATGTTGGCTCACAAATGTAAGAGTTCATTTGAGGAAGTTCAATTTACTCTTGTACTGGAAGATGTTACCCCATGCCAGAAGCACACAAAGGACAACCAAACTCGAAAACACGTCTAGTAGTTTGGATGGGACGAAAGAATCTTTTGCAGTTGCAATTCGACGAAGAGTAAGCGAAAACGTCACTGTTGGGGCAAACGTTCTCTCATAGCACTTCAATAGTCCGGTTGGTGCTTAAACGTAAGACATTTAAACCGTTTTCATTTCATTTTTTTTGATTGAATATTGACTGCATATATCAAAATCCTCTGTATGTTGCTAAGCCTACGAAATATTGATGGGGGCGTCTCGGAATTATTTTCCTAGTCGAAAGACAGATAGTATATTTGAAGTCAAGAAGATATTGTCTTGTGAATTCTAATAGTATGGAACGTAACATTTTTAAAAATAGAATGGTGTAATTTGCTTACATCAGTTGATGTGTTGTAATTTTTTTGACAAACAGGTGTGCAGCAGGCTTTTAGTTCTTCTTCATCAGCCATCGTCTTGTTATGACTACCATTTGCATCAGTATCTATTATATTCTGATTTTTGTCTAACTGAACTTTATTTTTATCAGCAACCTGTAGAAAAAGTAAAATTTGAATCATTCACGTATCTAAAGAATTTCTGGTGTACCTTTATACTCAGTCAGTAATTGAAATGAACATATAAATCTGTGATAATGGAGTAGCCTCCCTTTTTTGCATTTTTTTTTATAAAGTTCGTCCAGATTTCAAGTTTATGTTGGATAAAAGCGACCATATCTTATCCTCGTCTTTACCAGGGGCATTTTTTTAAGGAATCTGAAGCACTGAGGACATTTGTCTTCAGCAGACCACACTACATGTAAACATGTATACTCAAACATGCCCTGGGTGCGACAAAATGTATGATAGCACCACCTTTGCCGCTGCCAATCGGTAAGAGCGTAGGTAAAGACGCAGTAAAATCAACGCAAAGCAGAAAGTGTAAACACAAGGTGTCGCAAAAAATATTATTTGTAATGCACATTTTTAAGCTGAAAATTATTGTTACCTCCTTCAACTGTTCATTATCAACAGCGTCACTATCATTATTGTTGATTTCAGCTGGCGATTCATTTGGTCGTTTCTTTTCGATGTCTTCATTTTTCTCTACGGGTATTTTCCTGGATGCTTCACTGGGATTTGGTGTGGACACCTGATATTTCCTCTCCATAATAAGACGTTGAAGATTTTGGGTATACTGTAGAACATAAATCTGTATGGCTGGTATTGATAGAATCTGTTCCGCTGTTGGACGACTGTCTGCATGTGTCCTCAATAATACTGACACTAAGTCTTCTAACAATGGCCCATAATGCCTGTAGAGTTAATACAACCATTAGGACATTGACTGTTAGCTGTATGAACTCGTCTAGTATATAGTGGCAAACTATGTAGTTTACATAATATATGAATAAATTAAAATAAATTTTAATCTAAGACTTATTAGATTGGATTTAAAAAAAATATCCCATGACTCATACTTACATCAATGGTTACAAACATTATCAACTTATTAACCATTGCTACACTTATTTACTTTTATTTTCTAATTAGAATTAAAAGTCAGCATGAAAGAAGACTTGGGTGAATTTTTCTCCGCTACTTAGTGTATTTTCCTGCAGAAATTCCTATTATTAGTTATTCGAGGAGGGCTCCTATCCACGATTAGCGTTTGAAAAAGAGTGATTTTAGCTATTTCCCTGTGTGAGTCGATTTTCAAAGCTAAGTTTACAAGAAACCGACAAAGATACGCCTTTTAATAATGTTTGTTCAAACAATACCCATTGATGCATTATATATGTGATAAGTAAACACTTCTAATACAGTGTAGTAAAATTTCTACACTATCGAAATAATGATATTTTTTGAACAAGTATCAAATTTGGGCATTTAAGGCACTCCATACATAGTTGACGGTACTTTTTCTGTAAAATGTGATGGTAAATTCTTAATCTATATAACATTCTCTTACAAACCCCATAATTTCAGGAATATAAACTGACTAGAAGGAATAAAATCAGATCACAAAAATTGAGTCATATAACAGTAGTTTCAAACCTTGCGAAAGGGTACTCTTATTCAAATGGTCACATCTCAGTCAGTATTAATGCTAGAGTCATATAACTTTTTCATAAGACTGTATGTACTGTTACATATATCTTTGTCATAATTTTCTGAGGGGAGTCACTTTACAACTTTCTGATAATTTGGTCCACCTGACATGGAATGACCCTTAACATGAAATAGGCTTAAAATAAATACAAACTAAAGTCGGCAAGTTCACGAACTCAGTAGATCAGTGAAAACAGTCGTTTACAATCTGATGTAGCAGTGGTTACGTTAATGAACATATGATGCTCATAACCACTGCTTTAGAAATAAATATGCCCATGAATTTAGTTAAAGGTAATCTCGAGTTAAACACTATCCTTTTAGATGCTGTTAGATGTAAATGGGGAAACTATATTTAAAGAGTAACGAATAAATTCTAATTACGACAATGATGCAGCGAATATAATTGGGGATCAAATTGAAATCGAACGAGGGTACTGTACGGTGCAGTTTTCAAAAATTAGAGAAAGGTACTTATGGAATAAGAATATTTTAAACAATGTAATTGAAAAAGTTCTTACCGTGGAATGGGTTCAAAACTACCAGAAAGTATGGTCATCACCTGTGACGTAAAATCCGCAGCACGAAATGGAACCCGTAAACAACACAACTCATACAGAATACAACCTAACGCCCATATATCACTCTTGTGATTATATCTTGTATAAGGATAAGGATCAATCATAAACGTTTTATCAGAATATTCATCGGAGGAGGGGGGGGGGGCTGTCTATATGATTGCGCTGTGTGGTCATCATAGCCGTGGTTGTCATACCACAAATAGACACCACGTTCTGGTGGAGCGGGATTGTCAAGTTGTACGACACTGCCCTCTTCACAAAAATGTACCGTTTCGAACCCCGATGTAGACGAAAGTCAAAATCGACATTTTAAGCCCAACTCTTGATTTTCAGAGGTCTATCGTGTAAATATTGACGACATTCCATGTATGTAAAAGAAATTTTGGTAGTTGCTATTCGAAAAACACAAATAGGCGGAAACGTAGCTGTTCTGGCAAATTTCTCCCAACTGTATTGCACATGACAATGTAATCCTAAAAATGAAAATCATATGTTAGTCTCAAAATTTATTGTGTTGACGTGGAAAAATACGTCTTACACGCCAAGGGAAATAACTCCCTCGGAAAGTTAGGGATTGAGACTACTAATTGAAATACAATAAGGGTTAACGTCTTGTCTGTGTTATCATACCAGGTATTGAAACGGATGTCGGTTAATGACGACGTCCTGCACTATTGACAACTGAAAACCTAGTTGTAAATTCCCGACAACTTCCTCGACAAACACTATGATTTCTTGGCCAGCAAGATAGAACCATAATAAGCCAGTAAACGACGAGACCCTCACCCCTTACTCTGTATATACAACCCGTCAACATTATCAACTTCCAAAATTATTGGTGACCTTTAAAAAAAATAATCAGTGGACATCTTTATTTTCCAATATATGGTCAACTGCGGTAAGTCTCCTTAAAATTGTTTTCTAGTAATACTAACAGGCAATTTAAACACTTGACATTGTATTAATTTGTTTTGTATGTAAAGGCATATTCTGCGGAGAAGGGTGGTGTGGTTAGTTCTTCTTTGGCGTTTACTGACTAATGTTCATAGGAAGCACGATTTTATTTACCCATCTGAATAAATATGTACACATTAGGAAAGGATACGGCTGGTTTTGACAGATTTCTGGACTCAGATAGTATGGAGTACCAATAACTGTCATCGCAAAATCGGATTTATCATTTAATAGCCTGGCGATACCAAAATCTCCTAGCTTCAATACATCACCTTTTGTCACAAATATATTCTGTGGTTTTAAATCTTTAAACAAAAAAAATAAACAACACTTTATTTAAACCAGTCAGTCTTTCCGTAACAATCAAACTGCTGCACCCCCGCTCCATCACTAATTCGGGCTATCTGGTATCTAAAGGGCTAAAAATTATTAAACACACTTATGTATATATAGTAAACTTCATGAACTATGTTGTCTCCAGACTTTTTGTTCCGCTACACCCATATCTAGGTTTTAGAGTTTGACCCGTTACAAGTGCACACTGTTATTATCATTATATTTAAGTGAAATGGAATGCCCTGTTGGTGCAGGGAAGTAGACGTTAAACCTCATTTCATTGATTCAATGGAAATGGATTGTAGGTATTTGCCAATTCTCTTACCTCTGTGAAGTATATTTTGGGAATGGATATACGCCAAGGCCATGTTAATCTGAACAAACCATGTTAATATTAGATCTTCTTTAAAATGCGTGCCTTTTTGGTCGTCTATTTTTTTACTCAGATCTCCTGAAAAAGAAAAGAATCAAATTATTTCGTGTTTTATAGTTCAAAATACCGTTTTATTTGTTTGTTCTACACTAGGATCTGGAAGAGTTGTTATATAACTTGAGTTCTGGATGGCGTGAGGAATTAGCAAATGAAACCATCTGTTACGGCGACTTCTTGGCGTGCGATGCACGGAACTGTGGGTAAACCACTAGAAACGTCAACACTGATTGATTAATCAATGTCTGACGTCATAGGGTCAGAAGAAGCTTGTACAATTCCTGACGTGACCTTTCAGTACAACTGGTCAGATCTTCATGTAGTGTAGGCCATCGAAAATATAAAAAGACGAAACGAAATATAGATCTGTATTTTAATCAGATTGGAAAATAATATAATTAACTCCATTTCGCAAAAGTATGCATTTCTGGGCAGTTCTATTTTGAGGTGTGGTATTAATAATTTTATTATTAATTCAAAATGAACGACCGAAAAGAATGAACGACCGAAAAAAACGATCGAAAAGAATGAACACGCATCATCGATGACATAAATTGTAAATTATATATATATATATATAAAAAAATCAATACAAACTCTTTTTATTTCAAGCAAAGGCCATACTATGTTTTATATTCTTTTTGTGTTGTATGGTCGATGGCAAGGGTTACACAAAAATGATATTCTTTCAAGAGAAGCTATGATGTGAATTGCAACGTAACGTGACCTTTAATTAGGTTTGGTCATGAATAAGCCCCGGTTGTATTTTTCTGTATGAGTATCGATTATTCAAAATATACAAACAATTACCATTGAATATCTAGCTACATGAAGCTTTCACCTTTTTTCTAAACATAGATTTCTAATTTTCTTGTCAAATTACCACATACAACAATATTACCCTTATAAGAATCAATGCAGAATAAGGTCATCGGTTATTAAGGACATTTTTATATAAAGAACACACAACAAAAAATGAGTTTCATAGAAATAAAACGTCAAGATTTCTTCTTAAGGAAATGTTCCTGTATTACGTACTTGTAATAACGCAACACATAAAGGGTTAGCTGTGTGGGCACTTTATGTTTTGGAGTATTCTTAACAACACTTACTCATGTTTATATTAGCATTAAAGATAACTTTCTTCGAGAATGGTGAACTATAATACATAACCGCTGATTGGAATGGCGTTTATCTCCTCGGCAACAAGATGACATGGTTATTTCCATTGTGCGCGTGCAATGCGAGGTAATTTTGAGTCATTCTCCTTAGATTTTTAATTGCCAGGTGTTCTTTTATGTACATGCCAAAGTGTAAAACGGAACACCCGGGGGACTAGGTACAACGTCCATGAACAGCAGAAAAACAATTGCCTAAAAACGCCCACAAATTAATCAAGAAATTTTAACTCTGTGAATAAAAGATCTCCAGTGATGCCAGGCAATTTCAAGGTAATTTGTTTGATAAAAGCAAGAGACTTTTGGTCGAAACATCGCCCAGTAATAAATAATAATTGGATTCCATACAACTGAGTCCAGATATAAAAGTAAGAATGAATGGCCGAACAGGTAACTTAATTAGGCACCAAAAACGTATCGTTAATTAACGACATTTGAAAGTCATAATTTCCAGCGCATACATGGATATATCGACTATGAATGTGGCTTCCCGTGTTATACTTTCAAAAGTATAAGGTTTAAAATAAATGTTTCGACGAAACCAGCCTACCAACCAACGTGAGCCGACGTAATGTTTTTTTTTAAATGGCAGTCTAGAAAACATAATTATCATATTCCATGTCAGCGGAGAAAAGACTGATAATCGTCGCAAATTTTCAGTACCATACCTCCATGGCAGTCACTAATACTAGCGTCTCTTTAAAATTACTCTTTCCTTGGGAGTAAACCACAAATATGTCGCAAAGTAGGGACTCTTTATAGGATTGTTAATTGCGATTACAAATCAATGCTTGGTTGTTTGTTGTGCAAACGTGTAAAATACACACAAAACCTTTAAAAAAAGAAATTGTTTTACATGACGTTTTGACAAGAGAAGATCCAATTGAAATCTAAGTTTAGAATTATTTAAACAAATACTTTCATAGGTTAGAGATCAAGTTCTTGTTACGTTCTCGTTGTAGTTGTAGATAACAAATTACCATTAAAAATCTGATTGCATATCGGAGCAATAAATACATCTGGTATGTGTCATGTACGGGGCCATTTACGGTTACACTCGATATCATTAATTTAGACTTAGATGGAAAATTCAGATGGGTGGTGAAATGAAACGAAATGGTAACGCTCTAATCTTTACACCAACTATGGTAATTAAGACGAAGTGTGGTTCAACGTCTTACTTTTCTGCCCCGATTGGGCTAATAAAGACGAACATACGCCATGTAGTTTTTGCTATGAGGTTTCCACCCACTCTCCATTAATTCCAACTGTCAAGGCCTACACGGGATTTAGGATTACCATGTCCTCCGTCCTGTGCTACGGACAATGGGAAATCAGGTTGCAACCAAACGATGTAGATTACTGAATCACCGGGGTCGAACCTCTGACCCCCAGGGGCGGGAAATCTCAATTTTGAAATGGGTCAATTATATTTAGCTAATAATATTGGGTTAAATGGATTATAAAGGACCACATGTGGTAAGAACTACTAAACGAACTGTTGCACGGTCAGGTCAACTGTCATTTCGTGCAACGATTTAAAAGGACAATAACACTCTTGCTGGCTTGACAGTTCCAGAAAATAAATAATAGCGTTATTCTAAGTACTAGATGTTTAAGTGTCCTACCTGTTGTGTAAATTATCCATTACATCCTATTTTACTTGTCCAGAGGGTTCGAAAATATTTTTAAATCCAAGTCACATTTGAAAAGGTTTACGTTAGGCTTTTCAAATCATTTAGTTGAATTTTTCAAATTTTTTAAATTAGGTGTGTTAAGATGAAATTTGTATCACCAATTAATTGGAATATTGTAAAATAGTACAAAACCTTTAAAAAAAGAAATTGTTTTACATGACGTTTTGACAAGAGAAGATCCAATTGAAATCTAAGTTTAGAATTATTTAAACAAATACTTTCATAGGTTAGAGATCAAGTTCTTGTTACGTTCTCGTTGTAGTTGTAGATAACAAATTACCATTAAAAATCTGATTGCATATCGGAGCAATAAATACATCTGGTATGTGTCATGTACGGGGCCATTTACGGTTACACTCGATATCATTAATTTAGACTTAGATGGAAAATTCAGATGGGTGGTGAAATGAAACGAAATGGTAACGCTCTAATCTTTACACCAACTATGGTAATTAAGACGAAGTGTGGTTCAACGTCTTACTTTTCTGCCCCGATTGGGCTAATAAAGACGAACATACGCCATGTAGTTTTTGCTATGAGGTTTCCACCCACTCTCCATTAATTCCAACTGTCAAGGCCTACACGGGATTTAGGATTACCATGTCCTCCGTCCTGTGCTACGGACAATGGGAAATCAGGTTGCAACCAAACGATGTAGATTACTGAATCACCGGGGTCGAACCTCTGACCCCCAGGGGCGGGAAATCTCAATTTTGAAATGGGTCAATTATATTTAGCTAATAATATTGGGTTAAATGGATTATAAAGGACCACATGTGGTAAGAACTACTAAACGAACTGTTGCACGGTCAGGTCAACTGTCATTTCGTGCAACGATTTAAAAGGACAATAACACTCTTGCTGGCTTGACAGTTCCAGAAAATAAATAATAGCGTTATTCTAAGTACTAGATGTTTAAGTGTCCTACCTGTTGTGTAAATTATCCATTACATCCTATTTTACTTGTCCAGAGGGTTCGAAAATATTTTTAAATCCAAGTCACATTTGAAAAGGTTTACGTTAGGCTTTTCAAATCATTTAGTTGAATTTTTCAAATTTTTTAAATTAGGTGTGTTAAGATGAAATTTGTATCACCAATTAATTGGAATATTGTAAAATAGTACAATTTGTTGACCAGAATAAAGATTGGGACATATTATTCAGTTACAACAAGAGTGGTATTGAGCCTTTAAGTTAGCACCTTCATGCGTTGGATATTTCAAATATCAGCTGTGTTGAATTCTGATGAGATGACCACTGCTATATACTAGACTGCTCAGATACAACATTCGGATCTATACTAGAAACAACAGAAAAATACTAAATAATTACCCGATTCAGCATATTCCATTGCTATAAATAAACAACCATCATCAATGAAGGCTCCCAAATATCGTATGATATTCTCATGTCGACATCTGGCCAATACTGTCACTTCAATTATAGCTTGATCTATACCTTTCTTAGTCATATCACTCACTTTGATCTCTTTTAAAACACATTTCTTACGACTAGATTTTATATTTGCTAGCCATGCCGTACCAAACGTTCCTGAGCCTAACACTTGAAGTTTTTCGTATTCCCCCGCCATCATTACTACTGATATCGTACAAACTCTCGCTTTGTCAAAAGATGTGTGTTGAGCAGGTCTCACTTGATTGTTGTACTCACATTACTCATGTTTAATTTGCTATAAAAACACACTGCTTATGTCTGGATGATACCGTATATAACTATATCATTTTGTCCAGTCGCTTTCTTGAATGAAGAGATACTTCCACGCCTATTTCAGAAGAAAAACACTCAACCATAGAATTTCAACAATTAATTTACAAAACGAATACGTGTGACTTAACAGAAAGATTCAGTTGCAGACGGAAGATTGGAGGTTTGTGGGTTGAAACGAGCTGCGAATCATTGATCTTGGTTTATGGGACCATCCACATTTCGCGTAGTTTCGACAGCTCGCTTGTGCGTGACAAGGATTAGGATCGCCTGCCCAACCTCGTGGGTTTCCCCGACCGTAAGCGAATTATTGAAATAAAATTGAACCATGTTAGAAGCGAATTTGTGCCGAGTGGACGTTAAACCCCATCGCTCTCTCTCTCTCTCTCTCTCCACATAAAGGATTAGTGACAAAGGCCATTAATGGGTCAATTAATTAATTTACAAAACGAATACGTGTGACCTAACAGAAAGATTCAGTTGCAGACGGAAGATTGGAGGTTTGTGGGTTGAAACGAGCTGCGAATAACTGATCTTGGTTTATGGGACCATCCACATTTCGCGTAGTTTCGACAAGGATTAGGATCGCCTGCCCAACCTCGTGGGTTTCCCCGACTGTAAGCAAATTATTGAAATAAAATTGAACCATGTTAGAAGCGAATTTGTGCCGAGTGGACGTTAAACCCCATCGCTCTCTCTCTCTCCCTCTCTCCCTCTCTCTCCACATAAAGGATTAGTGTCAAAGGCCATTAATGGGTCAATGACATAATGAAATTTTTGGATGTTAAACCAGTAAATTCTGAATCACTTCTACATACACCAGGAATGACATTATATTCTGTGTTTTCGACATTCATAATTCAAGACGTGTAAAAATTGGTTTAGTTTTCAATCAGATAATTTTGCAAGCAACTGTAAGAATAAGTGTCTGCACATCATCCAGCGCGATGGTAGTCAAAAACACGCGAAATCGAATTCGATAACTGAAATGTCAATAAGCTGTTGCCGTGCAAGATACGCCCACATTTTGCAAGAGATGGACAGAGAACAAGCTAAAAAACAAAGGACGATTTTTTGTACATTCAGGAAGTTACGATCCGATATGTACGAATATCGAAAGGAACCGAGATCGTTGGGATATAAACATATATTTTTAGTTTAATCAAAATCGGATAAAAATTGTGACCTTTAGAGGGTCCATACCTTGGTATTACATACTTCTACACTATTTTGTTGGGCAGTTTCGGTCGGTCCGATTTTCACGAAATTTGAACTCAACCATCATTAGAGTGAAATGGTGATATATTTAAAATCGGATAAAATGTGTGACTTCTAGAGGGTTCACAGGCAAAAATTGTGATATTTTCGTACATTCAGGAGCCACAATTCAGGCAGTTACAGTCCGATATCCGCGAATATCGAAAGGAACATATATTTTAAGTCTCATCAAAAATCTATCAAATTTTTGATCTCTAGAGGGACCACAAACCTTGTTATTTTATACTTTAACAGGGAGCGGCCATTTTGTTAAATTTTCATGAAATTTGAATTCAACTGTCATTAGGTTGTAACGGTGATATATTCGAACGGTTGTTTAAATCGGATACGAATTGTGAACTCTAGAGGGACCACAAGCTAAAAACGTGATTTTTCGTACAATCAGGGGGCATAATCCAGGAAGTTACTTTCGGATATGCGCGAATATTGAAAGGAACCGAGAGATCGTTGAGTTAGAAATACACATTTCAAGTTTCATTAAAATCGGTATGGTTCAATCCTACCAAAATATCTGAAATACTTGAAAGGGCTACACAGTTACATTTGATGGCAAATCATAAATGGAGATTATGATGAAAGAGATTAATAAAGTCGTCCTTAAATTGGGAGGAGCCTTTAAGAATAACAATATCACCACATAAGAGTATAACTGAATTCACATAACTGAACACCGCGCCACACAGAAACCACCAAATGCAGTGACTAAAAGTAGAGGCTCCGCTATAAGTATTGCTTTAACGACAATGGCTATGGATACCACACATTACATACTTGTAACATTACTATCAAATGTATATAGTGAATACAACGTGTATAGTGAATTCTAGCTGGTACTAGTGGGGTGCGAGGTTTCTTTTATTCGGCATGCTCTGGAAATGACTGAATAGCAACCAATTGGACGATTATTGCTATATGGTTACAGCACAGCAGGATATTTGTCAATCAAATTTTCAAAAGCATTATTCTTTCAAGCATTTGTAAACAAGCAGTAGAATGTTTGATTTAGATGGGGAACATATGGCGTTTCGTAGCAGTAACAGGAAAAAAGGCTGTTCAGCAGAAATTGATCCCCATAAAATAGAAGGATCTATGAAAATAGTACGACTAGTCACGCGAATGCCACAATCACTAGAACATGGCGTTGAAACTGGGGTTACCGAAGGCATAAAAGGATAAATCAAGACGAAAGATAACGGAAGACTAGTCCTGTTTATGGGGCGGTGGATCAAAATATAACAGTTGAGATTTCATTTATGAATTTGGTAGTATACTCGGCAGTGATATTTCGATTATGGATATAATATTGTTAGTAAAATGATAATATATCTCAGAAACAACTTTTAATTAGATACCTTATTATGGTTTGGTCGTTATATTCTTTGTGTACAAATGTTGACGTGTAAAAATGTATGCTAGAAGGATGTTAGTCAACATTTTATTAATCCCTTCTAATCTTTTATTTATTTGCAGACATATAATGTAAAAATATTAAAATTCTTAATTGTTACACAACCATCTTAAATTACACGCCATATAATAAAATATGATTGTAAATATAATTGAACATACGGAACAAAGTATCTGGTATTGATATACCACAATGGTTAAATTCTCTGCTAATTATCCGCTATTTCTACGATAATAAATACATGCGGTATCCATGCAAGATACGTCCACATTCTGCACAAGATGGATGGACAACAAGGGAAATCGGTAGATCCCATTGTCTCAATACTTCACATATTCAGGTTTTCGGCAAATGGGGATAACGTCGGAGCTGGAAGAATGTGGAATGCTGAATATGGATATGTTTCATCCTATCACGTCGGAACGGAAACATGTGGAACGCTGAATATGGATAGGTTTCATCCTATCATGAACTCAATGTCTCACACCAAAATTGAAAAAAAAATCCGTTAGTGCAGCCACTATTGTGTTTACTACCCCCAATAAATAACACCAAAATTTTTAAAAAATAAGTTAAAACTGTTGTCTCTATGATTTCGGCAAAGGGGAGCTCTGAAAATCGATAGGGTATGTCTAGAGGGGTACACTGGTCTGCCGCTATAAAAATGTTATAATTATGGATATCAAAACAAACAGCAGGTATAATGGCTGATGTGTATCACGACATTTTCACCCGACACCATTGTCGTGTTAAAATGTCGTGATGTGTGGTTGTCAGGTTGTCGGCCATTTCATCTCAATATACAATGTGATTATGTACATCGATTCCGGTGCTGGTCAAGAAAGTTCCCCGGGATTTTGCAGCGTATGACGAAGGGCCTGGCAAACAACAGTGTCTAGTTGTGTAGATGGGACAAAAACACAAGCCACTGTGTAAACATTCGCGTGCACATAAAAGAACTCTACACAGGAGGAATTCGATGGAGAAATGCCACTGTCCCTAGAAAATTTCCGCCATAGACTTCTGCATCGCGTGACCTTGTATGTAATTTTCGTACTATTAGGGGCAAATAATTTAAGAGCTTACGGTCCGATATATTCTTAAACAAACTCATCGGAGATATTTGGGATATTAACATATATTTTATGTTTCATCAAGGTCGGATGAAATTTGTGACCTCTGGACTTCCTACAAAAATACAGACGTCCAGGTCTAGATGGTCCACAACTTAAGTAGATGCCCTACATGATTTACCACCTAATGGGTGGCTTATGTCGACTTCGAAACTCAAAGTAACTAGTTGCTTATGTCGATTATGTCAGCATCTGAATTCGGGGCGCTCATATCGACTCGGAACTGACTACACTTAACATGTGACTGTTAATTTCTTCATCACGTGATCAACAAAATGGCGAAAACCATAAAAGAAGCAACCCAAAGACATGGTCGGTCTTGCCACAATTATAATAATATAATATTGTCGTCACCATCAACATTTGAAAACTGGGTGTCTTCGTTCGCTTCAATTTTGCATATTTATAGTCTCGTGACACGTTTCTTATCACGTGGGGGATTGGATGGCCGAATGGTTAGCACGTGCGCGCTGTATCATAAGACCTGTCATTGAATAACTGGCGTGGTTTCGAATCCCCGGTTGTACGTGAAAAGGAATAGGTGCGCCTGTCCAACCACGTGGTTTTTCTCCGGGTCCTCCGATTTCCTTCCACTGCTAAAGACCCCTACGCGCAAGCGAATTATTGAAATGAGATTGAACCATGTTAGTCCTGAAATGATCTAGTTTGTGTCTAGTGGACGTTAAACCCCATTTCTCTCTCTTTCTTATCACGTGGTGTTATTTCCATGGAAACAAGCTAACACCAGTTGTAAGAACTTTCATGTCGACTGCAACTAGTTGCCGCGAGTGGCAGAAGTCAAACATGTGCAACTGACCTCATCTAGTTGCCTTGAGTTGTAAGAGGTGCTTGGGTCGACTTTCCTCATTTGCTGAAACGACACTTGCAAAGTCAACATAATAATGTTGGGCGCATGAAAAACCTACATTACATCACTTGAACACAGGCCATCATCAATTTTCTCAGTTGGCATTATTCAGTTTTTCTATACCTTCCACTTTTGAGACGGAAGGATAACATAATTTGAGATGTTGGTTAATGATGGGCGCAGTGGCGGCGCCAAGCCCCCCCCCCCATAAATCTGGTCTGACCCCCCTCCTCCTCCCCAATAATTTTAGAAAATAAAAATAAAGTATTTGTGATACGTTTCGGTAATCAATACCTTCTACGGGGATTAAATTCCACATCCCCACTCAGTCATAGACTTGCATGTTGTAGAGTCCGAGTGATTTCTTACCAAGCCCATCCTGCTATAAACCTACTATAAACAATAACACGTGAACCACTTGAGAAGTGGTTTTTTTTATGATCTTCAAAGTTTTGGAATATAGGTCAAGGCGGCGAGAATATGCATTCAGTTGATACACTCACTCCGTTCGTTTGACACCACCATCTCTGTTCGGATAAGCTGGTGATTTGGCGACGAACTGTATCTGGTCGGCTCTGTTTATCTCGACGACCAGTGTCTGAAATGCTGCCAGGCTGCATTTCCGGCTGTCTATTTCAAGAAATATCGTGGCGAAAATATTCATCCACTTTGAGTCACTCGCTCCTTTCGCTTGACACTCTCCTGTCTGGTCGGATAAACTATTGATTTGGCGACAGGCGGTATCTGGTAAGCTCTATCTATCTCGACGATCAATGCCTGAAATACTGCCAGTCTGCATTTCGGGCAGTCTACATTTCAAATTTTCGGAGGCTTCGTTCATTTGACACTTTCCTCTCTGGGGTCGGATAGACTTGTGATCAGACGACAGACGGCATCTGATCAGCTCTATTTATCTCTACAATCGGTGCCCTGACAATATTTCAAAATTTTCTTGGGGAGGTCCCCAATACCCCCACAAGGACTTGCTACTTTGGCGCTCATAAGGGGACTTCCTTGAGGTTCGCAAGTCCGTTCGTTTGACCGGCGAGGGACGGTATCTGGTTAGATCTATTTACATCGACGATTGGTGCCTGACTGAATACTGTCAGACAGAATTTCCGGCAGTCTATTTTTCAAAAATTTCTTGGGAAGGTCCACCATTTGTCGCTCGTGATTGGGCTTTGTCGAGGTTCGCAAGTCCGTTCGTTTGACACTTAACCTCAACGATCAGTGCCTGAAATATTGCCAGGATGCATTTCCGGCAGCCTGTTTTTCAAAATTGTTTGGAGGAGATCCCCCACCCCTAGTTGAAGCTCGTGCCTTTGCCCCTTTAACCTTGGACTTTGCCCAGCTTTGCCCCTCCAACTACCGACGGCTGGCCCCGCCACCGGATGGGCAGACAGATACATATTTACCAGTATGTTGCGTCATTTGAGTTTCCATGGTTTTCGACGAGAATCAACATTAACGTCAGTTGGGAAATAAATATATGGTGACCCGTGGGCATCTCATCGTTAGAATAGAATAGTGTTGAGCTTAGGTAAATGTTTCTATATTAGTTGGGGGTATTACTATACATCAGCCTATTGTCAAATATTACAACGTGAACAGAACTAGTTGTTGTTGGTCTTTGAAGTCATGAACATCGATCTATTTTGATCTAGTATGCATGAAATGAATTCACTGATCATGGTTATAGCCCTGCAACAACGACCTTTCAGACAAAAAATAACCTAAGACTACCATTCTAGGCGTATTAATATACTTTCAATCCTTTTATTAGTATTGTTTGAACTAAAGTACAAACGTAAAGGTGGTGTTTCGGTTCTTACCAAAAAATGAAATGAAATGGGGTTTAACGTCATACTGTTCTGCTCCTATGCTGGGCTAATGAAGACGGGGGTTCTTACCAACCAAAATGATGGATTTTTATTTTGCACCTTTAATCACGAAATATTTGGTTCCTACAGACGGAACCATTTTTTTTACAGCTACAAAATCATAAAGTACACAGAGACCATTTTTGTCCCACGTAAATGATCTACAATGGAATAGATTAGAACATCCAGTACAACAAGAAATTGCAGATTTAGTTGAAAAGAATGTCATTGGTTGAACTGCCTCTGTGTGTTTCAAGCCTTTCCTTGTGGCGATGTGGGTTCGATCTCTGGCGTTATTAGGTGGACAGCTGACTGGTGGTCCTGGAATTAGAGATTGAATACGTATGAAAAGTATATCCCACACTTGGACAATGGGGTTTCAGAATAAACAGAAACTTTGCAAAATAATCATTTTTATACACCGAGAAAGGTTCTTCATAATTAAAGAAAAATTGTAATTTGAGTTGATAAAACTCCTTCAAATATATTTAAACTAAATTTACACGAAACCTTTTCTTGGAGATATCTACATTAGCTATACAAGTGATAGCAACCACTTTGGCATATTAAAGATACATTATGTAAGATTTAGATAAAGAGCTAGCCATTATTGCTATAATAGTTCGAAAATAGATAATGTAAAATAAATAATTCGAAAATTTCATTCAAATTACTCTATTGCGAGCTAAGATATTAGCCTTTAAAGGTTTGACAATAATTTCAACCACAATACTGGTTGGTCAAAGCTAAGTCTCGTTCCTCCATTTTTAAATTAAATCAAAATATGGCTGAACCATTCTTATCTATTTAATATCGGAGAAATTCGATTCCATCGAGAGTTGATTATGGCTTGGGTCAGTTAATTAATATCTAATTAATAATTTAGATAACATTTCAGGCCTCAAGAAAGACCTTCAATAGGCAGATTTAGCTCTTCATAATGTATCTTTAATTTGTCCGCGTATATTTTGTGGTAGGAAAACATGCGTATACATTTTAGGATTCGTCCTTGTGTACTCTCTGGTGTGATGGGTCAAATAAACACTATACCGTTTACAAAGAAACTATTGGATATGTTGATGCAGAACCGCATTAAAAAAAGAAACGTAGCTGATATCTTATTTTTCTCAGGTAGTATAAGTGATTACTAGTAATGGGTTATATTTACTTGTATTTATTTATAATTACCTGCTACGGTGTTCCTGAGACAAACCTGCTCCACCTTCTCGCCAATCTTTACACCATCACCAAATATGTCATTCAACAATACAAGGCAGCGCATGTCACCATAGAAGCCAACTACTTCAGATATCACCGGCCCAATACTTATAAACACATCGGCATTCAATGTCGTATATTCACCACAGTAATTTTTGGCAAAATAGCTAGTGTTATTAACCCAAACGATCCAGTTATTTGTAATATTGTCTTTTTCAATGGCGAGTAGTTGCCATTCACCCATCGTCAGAACGTTGTAAACATCAAGAACTGCACAAAAGTGCCCTGGTTTATCATATGCTGTAAATAGTATGTCATCACCCCTGTTACGTAAGTCAAACAGAATATCATACGGTCCATCGAATCGTGCATAAAACACGGACCCCGTAGAAATATCTTCGGGAAAAATGTAGCAGGCAAAGGTAAAACGCCCTCTGAGATCGTTATACTTGACTGTCATTTCAAAAACAGACAGAACCGAACCATCTAAATGCACCGACGCGTGGGGAAGTGTGGGATGCTTTCGACCAAATCGGGGACAAATTATGTTTTTGGGATTCGCCATGGTGATGACATCGTATCCACTAGTCGTGCTATCCATGGGCCAAAGATGTAAAGTTACTGGATAGTCTTCTGTTTGTTGAGTAGAGACAGCCTTTGTAGTGGTTTCCGTAAACCATATAGAAGCGGGCAAACCTGTAAATAACAACACAACTCCAATGAATTAATGCACTCGTTAATTTGTATAAAAGACAGATGAAACTGATGTTTATTTTCCGTCCACAGCCTTAAGATCTTCGACCATAAACTGACGAGATAATAATCAACCCCCACTTTCCCAATGAAATAGCGGTGTTAAAAATATATCATTCATGTGAACGCCCTCGTGCAGTTTAAATATATCATTCATGTGAATTCCCTCGTGCAGTTTAAACACATTACTTAAAGATACATTATGGGAGATAAGATAACGAGATGGCAGTTCTCGCTATAATAGTTAAAAACTAGATAGTGTAAAGGTAATTTGCTGAAAATTTCAGTCAAATTGATCCACTATGAGCCGAGAAAGAAGCCGGTGAAATTTTGGCATAGTCTCGGTCATCATTACTAAAATCATTAATATAAACAGCTTAGTCTCGATTATCCACTTTTTTGATTTAATTATCAACGGCCGTTAGCGGCATATAGGAATCTAATCCAGCCAACATCGAAGGCTAGCCTTGACATCGAGAGTTTATTATGGTCGGGATAAGTTAATTAATGTCTAATTGATAATTTAGATAACATTTCAGGCCTAAAGAAAGACTTGTAATAAGCAGATTTTGCTCTTACATAATGCATTTTTAAGGTTTCGCTCTCGACACATACAAACCCGCTATTCAATCGCATAAACAAAATAAACACCCTCCAACACGCGTATTTCACAGAAATCGCCATGCGAGTCCATTATTACGCAATGTCTTGCACGAGATCATTAAACAACTTAAAATACAGACCCTATCAAGCATGTGCATTTCAATGAAATTTGTCACACGGGTCCAATATTTCTACTAGTATAATTAATGTAGGCTTGGTACACTGCCCTTAACATTATTTGAAATAATGGTACGCCATCATCAAAGGATGTTGTAACATCTATATTGTAACATTATTTATACTAGTTGAAATATTGGACCCGCGTGACGTATTTCATTGAAATGCACGTGCTGGATAGTGTCTGCATTTTGTCTTGTGCAAGACATTGTCTAATATATAGCCCTCGTACTAACATCAATATATTACTATATTACTTAGTCTGCGTTCACAATGCATGCGCATTGGTATGGTTTGGCTCAGGATTTAAAGCGACGCGTCTCATTGCAACTTATTCGGACCGAAATCAAATTGAAACGCGCCACACTAAATGCGCATATCCCATTTGATTTGTGTTTGTAATATTAATTTTTATTTATTTGCAGAATATTGTCCCGGAAAAAACACACGTTTCCCTCCGAGCGATAAAATCGAACCAGAAGTGAACATGCGCACAAAGTTATTCGTTTCCGGTAAAACCGTTGATCTGAATCAAGCGCGCCACTGGCAAAATTTAACTGGAAATAACCCGATTCGGAATAGTTGTTCCTGATTGAATTCGGAAAAAATATAAGGACTTGAAATTTCATATTCAGTTCGGATTTTAGCGAACTGATTGAGACGACTTAATTCAGATTAAACCCCCAGTATGAACGTACCTTTAATTTCTTGCACTCGACCATTAAACTACACACAACGGCAGAGCGTTCGTATACCATGATTAATCTTGTGGCCAACCACAACGGGATATGAACGAAGTGTAATGTCTCTTCAATCCCATACTGCGAGCGTTGTGAGACAAAAGTTTTTATTTCATGGGGTCAAGTAAACAATGCTCTATATTGTCATCAAATTGCAGACACAATAATAATCCTTAAAGCCAGTTCAGTGAGTATTTTTTGACGAAATACAACCAATCTGCATCAACAATTAATTTGAATGTATTATTCGGTGTAATTGGTAATGCTACTGAACAGATTGTGGGGAATATTTTAGGCAATATTGCTAATTGGTTGCAGAGAGCAATTTCAAATAATTTGTCGGCTTTTTGGAAAAGTAAATATAATTTTTTAGAAAAAGTACCCTGATTTAGTTGATCACAAATACATTATACAAGACGTTCGTGCAAGACGAGAATCCCAAGTCAGCGCTTCTGACAATGGTCCGTAAGGTTTCAAAAAGTATACTCACTTGGAGAAGAATTCGGCCAGTTAGTTTTTCTACAATGTGGCATAACATTTGCCAGGTCAAAATCATTGGCATTCTGGTTGAAAAGACATCCACAAGTCATGAAACCTTTAAAAGCTGGTGACGGCAAGGGGTTAGAAGGGAGTGCTGAACCGAAACGTAGTTTTCCAGGAGTACATAAATTGTAACTGAAAGAATGATCAATTTTTTCCATAAATCCATTAATGTAAAGTCTAGTTTCTCCCGGGTTATACAAGTTTACCAACGTAACATGCGTCCATTGCTGTAAAGGAATACTATAAGGACCCTTTCCACTAGCTGGCATTGTTATTGCTCCTGCCGATGGGGTGTCGATAAAAGTCTTCAAATGTCCATCTTCTAAGATGATGTAGAATTCTGTTAAGTGTGCCAAAGGTGTGGTATCAGACTTATAATGTAAAATAACTCCATTACTATCTTCTGGGTTGAACAGTACTGAAAAGCCAGGATGGAGGATTGTGTCGGGGCCCGTGGTCATGGGAACAACAACTTCAGCATATGAGTACGTCCCTCTATCAAAATACATGGCGTCGTAAAGTAGACTAGGGTGTCCAGGTCCAACTTTAAACGTCTGATTGATCTTTGGGAACACTGCGTCAGTTTGTTTGACAACTTCGTAAGCTAAAGTCTCATCACTTAGTGGCCATAAATATACTGGCGGATCTAAAGAATCGCAGACAACAGCGACTGTAGCCATAACTGAAATGTAAATGGTATAACACTATAATTAATCTTTAAGTGGAATTTAGCGATTGGCAGCTTCAACCAAGGAACTGCCTCTTCTATCGTCTCGTTCCCGTCCAATTCCGCATGTCGTTTCATGCTAAACAGATTGAAGACATCGGTTACGTGGAGCCAGTGCAAATGAACGATGTAGTTAAAGGGCGAGAAAGAGATCGACTAAACTGGGTTGGTGGGTTGTTTACACAGCGAGGTATGGCCCCAAACCCACATTCGTCCACAACAAAGCGGGCATAGCTGTAATGACTTATATACTTAAACTATTTTTTAACGATAAAAGGTACCCAGACGTCTCAAAAAGATTTCCAAAATCAATCTTTAGCCGATGTCTTTTTGGCACCAAGGTAATCAAGATACTAAATTGAAATCTCGAGATATTAAGTTGAAATTTAAAGCTATTAAATTGGACATGAAATAAATTGGACATTTCAAGATCTTTATTCCATAATTCGGGTTATGGTAAAAACACTTGTATCTTTTTTTCAGATGTTGACAATGTATTTAAAACAGATGAAATGAAATGGGGTTTAGCGTCCCACTGTTCTGCTCCGACTAGGATAACCGAATTCTAACTGCCAAGGGATCTTTTACGTGCACGCCAATGTATACACGGGACCTCGATTTTTGGTCCCATCTGATGGTCTAGACAGGCCCTCCATCCTGCATCACTGACAATGGGAAACCACGTCGGAAAAACCCGATGAACTTTCTCGCCCAATGCGGAGATCGAACACGCGACCTGCAGGCTAGCGAGCCAGCGTCTTAACCACTTAGCCACCGTGACTCCCTATTTAAAACAAACTAATTGGGGCCTCTGGTTGTCATTTATGAGATGGATTATGTAAAAGCTAAATCTACTTATTGCAGACCTTTTTTTCTAGCTCCAAATGTTATATACATGATTATTTATACATAGATACTCGAACGTCAAGTAGCCTTGCTACGATAATACATAATCTACGCTATACAGTTTATCATAACTTCGCACAGGATAATTTCATTTGACTGACACTTTCAATATAATATCCATATTTCATTATCTATTTTGAATTATTATAGAAAAAATGGTCACCGACTGGTTGCTCAAAACTCACTTATTTTAACAATCCATTCTGTTGCCGGAAAGTCAGTTTCATTATCCGTTAGCTAACGGACTGAATAAAGCTAATCCAAGAAAAGACTGTTTGGCCATTGACTGAATTTTGGTATTAACAAGAAACTGAACAATTGTGCACCCTGTTTACAAAACTTGATTAAAGACAAAAATATAACTGTAGAATTTACTACAGAAAACACTAAGAATACTATAGGAAAAAATATAGGATTTGCACTACAGAAAATGTAGAATATTTGAGGCCGTTACTTCCTACGGGTCCCCAAAATTCTATAGAATACTATAGAATTTCATCCTATAGAAAATGGTATGCCCCACCGATCTTTAGAATGTTCTATAGGAAACTACACTGGTTTTCTATTGGGATTTTTGCTAAGATTATATTTCAACCGACTAGTGCTATGGTTAAACAGATAACGCACGAATTGTAAAATCAACGGGACTTCCAGCAGCCGACTTTCTCGCCGTTAAAGATAACAATCCTCTGACTCCATGAGTCGTTATAAGTTAACGGAGCTTTGAACACCCGGACTGTATCTAATTCTTTCCCTGAAACCAATTCATCTATCACAAGGACCGCGTTAATATATCTAAATGTTGCGCCCATATAACGCCAAAAACAAATGTAATTTTCATAACTTTACCTTTTGCGTCAACAATATCAATTGTGACACAAAAAAAACACTCATAGATGTCTTGACTTATAATGGTTATCACCATTTTACATCGGAGAAACGGGCACACATCTACTGGAAGAGCACGCAACATTAACGAGATTGTAATATTGGAAACGGACCCTTGTTTGTAAATAGACACATCTTTAGATGTTCAAAACAGCTACAAATAAAATTTCAAATTTTCCCTTTTTATAAAATGAAAAGCGATGGCTTAACAAGAAGAAAAATAATGGGAAAAAATAGTAATAATATGTCCATCTATAAGGCGCTATATCCACAACATTCCTAGACTTAAACATGCAGTATGCAAGGGGTAAATCTTCCTATTGCAGGTCTTTAGGCCTAAAATGTTATATTAACTATTAATTAGACAGTACACCATAATCAACCCTCGATGCTATCTCATCTGTCCGATTTTTAATGGGTTTGAATCAGAGCTGCTGATGTGTCAATACTGTTGTGTATCGTAACACTGGGGCCATCTTTAAATTTTCAAGGTATACAGATTTTCATCTGACAAAGCAAATTAACAATCATATGAAATAGACCATCATATATCTTAACGATACATTATGGAAGATTAGATCCGGAACTGGCAATCCTCTTTTTAATAGTTAAATAATAGATTGCCATTGTTGTCGTTGTGACGAAATTTTAAAAAAAGTCTCGAGTTGCGTTAAATCATCAATGGCTGATGAATGGTAGATCGAATTCAAATCAGAAGCATCAGATGACATAGAGAGTTGAATATGGTCTTGTCATGTTAATAAATGTCTAATTAATAGTTTATATAACATGTCAGGCCTAAAAAAAGACCTGCAATAGGCCGATTTAGCTCTTTCATAATGCATGTTTAATTAATCAGGTATTAGAGAACTCTTCAATATAGTGATGGCGAAAAAGACGCAAAAACGCAACTTACCAAATATATTAGCCAAAATATTCATTGCATTGCTTGGTGAAGTATCTTCTAAACTGTTGCACAAGTTTTCACCTCAAAGTATATCAGATCCGATCATACCATTTTTGAAATGGTTAATTTCTATGAAGATTATTAATATATAATCTTGACGAATTCATCTCCGGGTGTGATCAATAAAATATATTGATTTCCTACCCTTTGATCAAGAGGTAAGAAAGCGTTAATTATGTGATTTAATTGGCTTTCTTTTTATCCACGGAAATGCAATCAATAAAGAAATGCCGCATTCGTATACCAAAACTTTCATGTATTGTGCATGCCACTTCCTTATCTGCTTATCTTTACTTAATACTTGAAGTACCCCATGGATTCAGATTCTTTTGTTCTTTATTTTTTTTAAAATTTGATTGAATGAAATCCTTCTTTGGAATAATCAATACAGTATATAGAAGTTTTTCACAACAAAAAGCCTAACATGCCACAGTCTTCTGATAAAATAAGCCAACAGTGAGGCCCTCCACAATCCCAAAATAAATATATGACATATTTATTAATGACACTGTCTCTTTTCGAAAAGTATGGAACAATCAATCTGATTATCTCTTAGCCTAAGCAGAAAATGTTCACAATCGAACTCCGTCAATTTTTTTAAATACCTGGCAGTGAAACTATACACTAAGTTTTATAACTCCCCGTCAGGTAGAAACAAAGTTATCTTGTCCCAAAGCATCGACCAATGAAATGGCTTGGATTTAGCGGAAAATGTTAATCATAGAACTCAGTCAAGACATTCACCTAACTACATCAAATGTAAACATTCTAGTTCAATTACAATAAACACCCACACTAAGTTTGAACATTCTTCCTCAATTAGAAGGAGAGTTATTGCGTCCCAAAGTGCCGACCAACCAAACTGATATCTCTATTTATCCTATGCAAAAAATGCTCATCATCGAGCTTAGTCAGGGTATTAATGTAACGAAACTATACACGAAGATTCACCACTCTCGCTCAATTAGAATCAAAGTTATCGAGCTCCAAATTATGACCAATCCAATTGCTGCTAATCGCTCTGTTTACCCTGGCAGAAAATGTTAATTATCGAACTTAATCAAGGTATTGATGTAATGAAACTATAAACCAAGTTTCATCACTCTCTCTTAATTAGAACCAAAGCTATCGTGTCCCAAAGCAATCAAATTGCTAATCTCTGCTTAGCCTAAACAGAAAATTCTCATCTCCGAACCAATCAAATTGCTTATCGCTCTGCTTAGCCTGAGAAGAAAATGTTCAATATGGAACTTAATCGAAGTATTTATGTAATAAAATGATACACCAAGTTTCATCACTCTCACTTAACTAGAACCAAAGTTATCGTGTCCGAATTCATAGGCCAATCAAATTGCTAATCTCTACTTATCCTAAGCAGAAAATGCTCATTTTCGACTTCCATCAAGTAATTCATCTAATACACACCTTTATCAAGTTTGAACAATCTAGCTCAATTAGAAGAAGAGTTATTATGTCCCAAAAAGGTATGATGAATTGACAAACGGAATGACGGAACAATTTTAATAGCCCCCTGCTTTCTTCGAAAGGCGGGGGACAAATCATTGATAGGGGTTGACAATGTCAATTTTTGTGCTAGGTCTGCTCAAAGGAATCTTTTGGTAGTGACGACATTTTAGTAGGTGACCCGTAGATGCGATCACTGTAATTCAGACTTGTTTATTTATTGATCCTTCCGCCCCACAAATAATGAATATGCACCAAAATGGAAATTCAAATACTCGTTTTCGACTAGTGACCAAAGAATCAACAAAAATTGCCATGCAAAAGGTGGGAAAGAGGGAGAATATATCATGGGAAGCGATTACTAGTCAAAAGTGTTATGCTCACAAAAGTGTTTTCTGAATTTAAGGCTGTTGTGTTGGGTCTGAATTCCTCCTATTCGAGCTATAATGAGCAATTCATTTTTTAAAATATATAACTGAATGTATAATAAACTGGGTTTACTGCTGCTCGAGTGTCCATAGAGCCACTGTACGGGGGTTGATTGATAAGTTATGAGTCTAACACAGAAAGAAACAAGAATTTCAAATCAAATGCATTTATGTTTCAACATAGTCCCCCTTCAATGTAATACACTTCTGCCATCGGTGTTGCAGAGCCTTTGTTCCAGTTCTGTAGAAGTCTTCGTCTTGGGTGTGTAGAAACTCATCCACAGCGGCAATGACGTCATCGTCATGCGGGAAATGCCTACCGGAAAGACATTTCTTCATAGCAGGAAAGAGATAGAAGTCTGAGGGAGCTAAATCAGGAGGGTAGGGTGGATGCTGAAGAAGTTGAAAACCACAGTCATGGATTGCTGACATGGCAACAGCTGATTTGTGTACTGGCGTATTGTCCTGGTGGAAAATCACACCTTTGGTCAGCCTTCCTCGTGTTTGGGTCTTAATTTTTTGCCTTAACTGCCTTATAAGTGCTGCATAGTATCTACCGTTAATTGTTTGACCCTTTTGGAGGTAATCCACCATGGGAACACCCTCAGAATACCAGAATACTGAGGCAATCACCTTTCCTGTCGATGAAACCGTCTTTGCCTTCTTTGGGGTCGGCGACGTCACATGTTTCCACGGTTTTGACTGCTCTTTTGTTTCTGGCTGAAAGTGGTGGACCCAAGTTTCATCCAGAGTAACAATTTGTTTTAGGAAGCGGTCAGGATCGGTTTCAAATAAGGCTAGGTTCTCTTCTGAAATGATGTGTCTTGAACGCTTTTGATCAGGCGTCAAAAACTTTGGCGCCCATCGTGCTGAAACCTTTGTCATTTCCAAAGTTTCAGTGATAATAGAATGAACTCTCTCCTGGCTAATACCAACTACCCCAGCTATAAATCGTCCAGTAACTCGCCGGTCATTCATTATCAGGTCATGGATAGTTTTTGGTCGACCAGGGCGTGGTTCGTCTTCAATGCTGTCTCGGCCACGCTTGAATTCAGCTGACCACCTTTTAATTGTGGCATATGAAGGAGCATCATCTCCTAATGTCTCAACCATATCAGCATGTGTGGCTTTCGGTGTTGGACCTTTTTAATGCAAATACTTAATCACAGCTCCCGCCTCGATATGGTCCATTTTCTGAAAAAAACAGACCATACTTGATTGTTATGACCTGTCACAACCAAAAAGTTTAATCGAATGTGATGAAAGTTTGTGACAGAGCCCCAGGAACAAATAGTGCGCGTGCAAAACGTGGTGTCATTGTCTTGCACGGTTTTCCAATCGAGGCTTATCAATCACCCCTCGTACAATGAACCTTTGTTATTAAATGTGGCTATGGTGTCATTTCTGAATTTGGGGGATTTGCATCAGAATGTTATGCAATTGGTATTGTGTACAGACATGGCATAGTATTGTAGTATTAAAGAATTATTATAGGTGAAGTTTGTCGGTAGCCGGATATTTCTTTAATATTACTTTAAACACCTTTGGTAGGCAGAAAAATTTCATAAAACACAGATATTGCTAACAGAAAACCGTTAGCTAAGCGGCTCACGACAGCTAGCATTCGAGGAGGAGATGGCGATACCTCTATCTGGGCAGAATTTTCTACTTCTAACAATGGAACACTGACCATAGAAACAAAATTAGCCATATCATTGTAATAAACACAAAAACATAATATGGAACACACTTACTATTTAAAGCGACGTTTCCTTGAGGGTTTTCTCAAATGGTTTCCCTATTGATAAGTGGTTAATTAGCTGTTACTTGTTTTTGTAGAAACCTTCTGTATATTATTTTCATTATCTTTACTGTCTTCTGTACATATCGTCGGTGGGCGATCAAAACCTCGTATATCGGATTTTAGTAAGTTTTCAGGGGAAACAAAAAATATCTGCGGTCCCGGATATTTTATTGAATGTGATTATATTTCTAATTTATGAACTAAATTGTGGAAAATTTAATATGGGAAGGTTATTTTTTGGATAATTTTAGGGGTTTATGTGCTGTGGCTATATACGACATTTTGTCTCGTGAAATGGCGGCGTATGTGACGTACGACGTTCTGTTCACAAACTGTAAGCCTGTTCTGGGTATATACGACGTTTTGTTCTGAATAACCTATTTACACAGATTATTTGTTTAGGGTAATTTACCTAGTACAGTGGCGGGCGCGAGATATTTTTTTTATCGGCGGGGGGGGGGTGCGGAGTGGTGGATTGTGAAGCTTATCTGCACCCAAATATAACACTCAATTTCATCAGCTGTATCACCCCAACAAAGTGCTGAAATTTACACGTTATTTTTTATACTGTTATTAAAGGGGGTGGGGCGGGACACGACGATCCGCCACCGACTCAGTAAGTTACCCGGGGCCTAGATATCCACCATATAACTCAAGGTAAGTTAACAGGGGTCATGACATCCACTACACAATCCAAGGTAAGTTACCCGGGGCGATGGTATCCACGACATTACTCAAGGTTAAGTAACCTATACTATAGGGCTGTAATTTTTGCGACATAATTCAAGGCAAATAACCCTGAGCCATAATATCCAAGACATAATTCAAGGTAAGTAATCCAGGGCTATAATATCCACGACATATTTCAAGGTAAGTTACCCAGGGCCATAACATCGACTACACAATTCCAGGTAAGTTTTCTGGTAGGTAAATAGCCTTAGATCGGTTCTGGTAGGTAAATATAGCCTTGGATCGGGATGATACTGACTACACAACCTAAGATAAGATATCAAGTGTTGTGATATTTACTCCATAAACAGGAGTTATAAACAAAACTCAATGTACGTTTAGCCAGGCGCATGGAATCGGTTAGAGAAAAGCTACCGAATTAGACTTTATTATATATAATTGAAATAGTATTTGTGTTCCATATTATGTTTTTGTGTTTATTACGTATGTCAATTGCTAAATGCCGCTCAAAGAAGATCATTATGTTAATATAAAATTATGAATGAAGTACTGGCTTAAGCTGAATTCGTTTCCTGAGCTTTTCGTTATTATAGTCACTGCGAGCGAGGTACCGTGACAGCAGTATTTAAGAAAATGTACAGGTTGCCAAATGAAATATATTCTTTGCATATATATATCTGAAGGTTGCTGCGATTGTTATGAAAAAATAATAATAACGAGAAGATATTGTTTAAAACAAGACGAAACTGGTAGTTTTTGTTTAAAGGGAAATAACTCTTGAGGTCGATTATCCCTTAAATTGCTTTAGTCAAACCATTTTTCACCAATAGCTTAAATATTTCAGCATGATTTTACATAGCAAAATTAATATTAACTCGATATTACTAAATTAGAAAATATTAGCAAAACTGTTGAAATTTTCGTACATTTCAACTTATCGTTCTTAGAATATTTCTTCTTACCCATTAATGGGTGAAATCCTTATACGACATTTAGTAACCGAACATATGATATAAAACACAAACACAAGAGGAACCTGTTGAAACGTAGTGTGAATAAAACCTAGTGATTGTCTTCCATAAAAATGTGTGTTTTATACCATTAATGGGTGGGTGCCTAACTCTACGCCAATCCAGCTTCGAACGCTAGAAGCCCCCCCCCCCCCCAGCGAAGATATATATGTTGCCTTTTATAATCCATACGTGTTAAACATGCATTAGGCAAGAGCTAAATCTATCTATTGCAAGTCTTTTTGGGGCCTGAATGTTATCTAGATTATTAATTAGACATTAATTTTAATTAAGTTAAAACTTATCCAGACCATAATCAACTCGCGTTGCCATCGTTAGCCTACGATATTTACTGTTTTTATTTACTGATAATTATTTTGCTTTTTATCATTCCAACGTTAGTAATGACGACCACGAATTGCCAAAAATTTAATCGCTAATATCTCGCTTCGGAGTGAAGCAATTTGACTTAATTTCAGCATATTTTGTTTTCATTATCTAATTTTTAACTATTATAGTGGGAACTGACAGCTCTTTATATAAATCTTACATGTTGCCGCTTTAAATTTGGGAAACTGGCCTATTATTTACTGAATACCTGTCAGTGGCAATGGCTATAATGGCATTTGTCTGTGGTCCTTGAGCCATTTATAGGGTAGGCCTATATAGTAGAACAATTTTGATATTCTCATTCCTCGGCGCTGATCGTTGACTTTAAATTTAACGAATATGATTAATAACTCGTCGTCGTTCGGTTGGTTGTGATTTTATCTATTTCAAGGTTCTACTCTAGAAAACCATTTTACAACAAAAGTGTACAAATGTGGGTGGATTGTAAATACATCCCTTACTCGATACCTTGCCAAAGGAGAGCTACATTCCTTTTTAAAATGTTAGAAATGAAAACATTATCCAAAAGAAGAATAATAAAGATATATATTGGATATTTAACACATAAGTAGTATTTCTGGATATATTGATCACAGTGTATGTTTCCGATAATGTATGGCTTAGATTCTCTCTCCACACCGTCGATAAAGACAAGAAAATGTAAGGCATACACTTATTAACCACATACAAAGTATTTTCATATCAAATATATGACCACAGGTCGATAAGGCCTTAAGGTAAAAACATAATCTGCATTTATATGATTAATGCAAAAGAGATAATATTTCCCGCATTCTATATTTTGCGTTTATCGGGATTTTCTGACGTGGTTTCCCCTTGTCAGTGGTGCAGGACGGAGGGTCGACAAGCAAAACTGTCTAGTCGTTCGGATCGGACGAAAAACGGAGGTCCCGTGTACACATTGGCGTGAACGTAAAAGATCCCTTGGCAGTTGGAATTCGATATAATAAGAGTAGGCCATAGTTCCGCTGCCCGGGCAAAATTATTGTCCTCATAGCACACTGTACGGCGTATGCCAGTCTTCATTAGCCCAGTAGGACGTTAAACCCCATTTCGTTTCTCTATATTTTGCAAGAAATATTTTACACATCTTGTAAACAGCCATTTTGGTTTTTTTTAAATGTACATATAGACTTAAAGGGCATATTATATAATTTTTTTCTTTTGGACATTAATATAGACGAAAATGTGTCCAAAAACATATAAATATTAATGTAATATGAGTGTATCAAAGTGGTTCATAGTCAATTTAAAAACAAAATATTGTAATTTATAATACGGGAGCTGTCCAAATTGACTGACAAACAATATTAATGTAATATGAGTGTATCAAAGTGTATCATAGTCAATTTAAAAACAAAATATTGTAATTTATAATACGGGAGCTGTCCAAATTGACTGACAAACGTTAACGCCTCCTTAGTCAATTCTACTTCTTGTTTATTAGTATTTGTCGTTTGTGACTCAGCCATTACTAATTACTTCCGCATTGTCTTTCGGGATATGTTTTTTTTTGTTAATTACAAATGGCCATCTAAACCATTGTTTCTCTGGGTTTTATTCCTGGTTGTTTTCAAATTTGAGTGAAGTTTGTCACTACAGGCCCGGGACTGCACATCGCAGTGGTCGCTTGCTGCTAACACCCTGATCCATTCACTTTATTTGAATTGTACGTTTGTTTGTGATTTCTGCGTAATATGTCTTGCCCGTATATTTGTTTTTGTGTAAATTATGTGTGGTGCAGTAACCCTGCACTTACTAATAGAATACACGACTGGTGTATTGATTATAAAATGTTCATTATGCCTAAAACATTGGATATTATGATCCCATATTTTTACGGCAAGATAACAACATCAATATTGATTTCTAATTCGTGTTTTTAATTGCGAAGATTATGAATAATGTTGAGTTAGAGGTTTAGCACCTTTAAGCATTTTACTATTAATATTGTTTCATTGAGGACTACTAAGTATTTCGTGCCAGGATGACATTCCTTAGTACTCTAACCTTAACCAAAATAATGATTACTATGCATTCAACAAAATTCAACATATTTATAAACCTGCGTTTCCTGATAAAGTGCTATGGACATTTTTTCTCGGGATAATTATTAAACCGGCCGGGCCTTCCTGATCCTGGTTACATACCTAAATATTGATTTCGACTTTTATTTTACAAAATAAAGCAAATTCAGATAATCCCAAATTGAAATCAACATTAGTTCCTGATACTTCTCATTTTTCTGGACATGGAGTCATATTCGATTTACTTCGGTAACACAGAGCTTAAAGCACTTATTCGGCTCCAATTCCTTTTTCCCCAATAGTATATTGAATGGAATCTTCATTTGGTTATCTTCGACATATTTTTATAATGAACACCTATGACGCTCTTTGATGCCTTTAAGGTTAATACCATCTGGACACACACGTTTAATCTAGAAAAAAGGAATATATTAGCTGTTGTATTTCCATCGATCATTATATTGACAACTTTTACTTGGTTTTCATATTACTTGAATAATCAATAAATGTTCAATATATAATGTACGTTGTTAGTCTATCAGCCAAATGGGCTTATGACATATCAATTGTCCGTCGACCGTTAACCTTTCATATGTTCGACTGTTTGTTTATTATACCAGATAAGCTTAGTTTTGAACATATTTAATTACACACGTCTGGTTTTTTTTGGGTAGTTAAATAACTAGTTATTATATAATATAAGGAATCAACATTCGCCCGTTTACAATGCAGTGTCAGATCAGCTTTTAAAGTAAAAAAGTTTCAATTATAATACCTGTCTACAGTTATGGTTTCCAAAACACCGTAGCGCGATCACTGGCGTATTTGATAAATATTGGGTCTCATATGATACATTGAGTAGTCCCTTCATTGGACATTTAATTTCATTGAGTGGATACAATCTCGAACTGTACCCACTTCGCAAAAAATACGTGTATTATTTGTGAACGTAAGCGGCTTCATTTGATTGGCCTCTGAATGGGTAATAATACTTATTTGAATCGGTTAAATACAGCACACACCCAACCCCCACTCCATATACAAACAGCTGTCGTAATCGTAAATCAATTCATGATTGAATTTGTTCCTCAGTTATTCAATATTCAATAACTTATTCATTAATATTCGTGTCTTTCTTATAGATCAGTTATAAGGAATTGTATATTTTAATACAGCTGTCCAATTCAATAAGTATGCCTTTAATTAAGCAGGTGTTTTTTTTTTAAAACTACTACAGCCGTTTCCAGCAATTGTTTTAGATCAAAATTGTTTTCAATGTTGTGCTTCAATTTACGCTTGGGATTCAGGTATTTTATAATTGTTTATACTTATTTGATAATTTTGCTGTCGATCCAAACATCTGAATTTTAGAATTAATTGAACAAATACAATCCAGAATGATATGGCTGACACTATGGTTTAGCAAAGTTCTAACGTTCTATTGCGGGGTGCTTATCCATTATTTATCCCATCGTCCATTGGCAATGCACATTAATTCCAGTACAGCATAGGTTGATGACACTTACCCATTAAAATTGGGTGGAGTGTGGCGTTACGTGATTGTTGTACACATCTTTACTTGATACTCGTTGAGCAATATATAATTTGTGCATAAAACAATGTCCGAATTACCGAATTTAAACTGTTAATCAATATATAGCCAAACGGTGATTATATTGTTACTATATTTTTAGAATATATACTTGTTGAAATGTTTGAATTGCCAAATTTAAAACTGTTAATCAATATATGGCCACACGGTGACTACATTGCTAACCAATTTCTAGAATATTTCAGATGGTTTAATCTATTTGCCATCCTTCAAACTGTGCGTCTTAATATAGTTCTTGGTATTTGATATGGTGAATCGAGGGTCAATCAAGTAGCTTAGCATCTAAATAGTCTAGGGGATATATAAATAAATTTGAATTGATTGATAGTCAATCAATACTTTTCTAGCATAACTCTGAATCATTCGATACGGCCATGTACGTGTATATTATGAAAGTTATCTTGAAACACAGACAATGACTTGCTGATCTATTGTTGATTATAACGGTAAGAGTTTTTCTTATATTTTATATCGTTCGTATTTGCGATGTTAACATGACACAGCAATGATTCGGTGTCGTGCGTCTTTTGAAATGACTCGCTTACAGTGAAGGGGGTCTCGGGTTCTTTCGCTTTATTAGTCGAAAAAGTTCACCGGGATGTTCCGGTGTACGTTTACCGAGATTTTCCTGTGTGGTTCACCCTTGGCAGTGATGCAGAACAAAGGGTCCGGCAATGAAAGTGCCTAGTCGTTCTGGTCTTTTCGATGGGATGAAAACCCAGGTCCCGTGTACACTTTAGCGTGCACGTAAAAGAACCCTTGATAGTTAGAATTCGAAATAAGCATTGCAAACCGTATGTCCCCAGTCGGTGCAGAACAGTAAGGCGTTAAACCCCATTAGTCCAGGCATTTTAACTCAATTTCGCACCATTCCGGGCAGTGGCTGCAATAGAAATGCCGACGGTTTATGGTCGGTCTAGACGTATATTATTTTCAAAAAATGTCCCAGTCCGAAATCCGTGCCCAGATGGGTCAAACTGACAAAAATCCAAAATGGCCTCCACTTTTGACTGGAAAATGCCAATTTTTATCCAATTATCATAATATGATCGAGTTTGGTATCAAAGTATATCTTTTCTGTGTAGCTGAACCCATTCATACACATTTTGTTGATTAATTACACCGCGGAGTCAATATGCTATCTTGCCTGGAATACATTTGATTTCCTAAACTAAGCGGGCTAGTATTCAAACGAATTATAGCTGGTGACTATCCCGGTTGTCTTTGCCCAAATTTTACCCTCTACTGAGTACCACTGGCTAAATGTCCAAGCTAGTATCAGGTATGTGTATAGCGAGTGACACAGATGCACTGTGTATGGGAAGGGTGAGTTTATGTTTTTGTAACTTGGTTGCACAATTTCCTGATAGTCTTTTGATTGATTACCTTTAACGCAGTAGACCGCTTAATGGCATAGTCCTTTTAACTATGGAAGTAATGAAACGCCGAACATTGGATGCCAGATGTACACGTGAAATTATTGCATTACTTCTAGATGCCACGCGCACAAACATGATAGCTCTTCACCAAGTGTCGGCTGAACAATACAGTGAACATAATCGTCTATTGAGGGTACCTATACACTTATTCGTCATTTTATTGTCATTGGCGATACCTTACATTTTAAAGACGTGTTTATAATTATAACTGAACATGTATTACTTTTGTCTATTTTTCAAAATTAGATATTGGGAGGAAAAACCCAAAGCACAAGAAACATCCATAATGGTAACTCTGAATAGACATCGCAAAATAATTATCTACGCCTGTCTCTTCTCTGTTGCCATTTTACTAAGTTACCAAATTTATATACCGATTTCAGAAAGTTACTCTGCAAAGGAAACTATGAAAAAACTGGAAGGAAGCAACGAAAATATATCCATCACCAATTCATCTACTTACAAAACTAAATCATGGCCAAGGCACATCACACACACACATTACCCTTTAACTATATCAAGCCCTTACGTTATAAATAGCCCCAACGTGTGCAAAAATGTTAAAAATCTGGCATTTATAACAATAGTCCACACAGCTACCGACCATTTCCAGCGTAGACGCATCATTAGAGAAACGTGGGCTAATAAAAACTTGTTTAAATCTATATCAACCCGGATCGTATTTGTTTTTGGCTTAACTAAAGATACAAATGTACAGGCGTTACTGGAGAATGAACAAGTTATACACGGTGATATTATTCAGGGAGATTTTCTCGATCATTATCATAATCTAACACACAAGGGTGTCTTAGCCTTTAGATGGGTTTCTGAATACTGTAGTCATGCCAAAGTAATTGTTAAAGTTGATGATGATATTTTCATGAACCCTTTTCTGTTGATACAAAATATATTACCAAGATATAAGAATGTGACAAGATTTATAATGGGTCATCTTCGCCGCCAGGGTACGAGTTGGATTATGCGCGGCGAGACCGATAAATGGAATGTTCATAAAGGACAATTTCAAGGTTATATATATTACCCAGTGCCTTACCCTAACGGATACTTTGTGCTCATCTCTCCCGAGATTATTTCTGCTTTATACCATGCGTCAGCCTTAACACCATTTTTCTGGGTAGATGATGTGTATCTTTATGGTTTGTTACCTTTTATGATAGGCCACGTGGTGCACACAGACATACGCGAGTACCTGTCGTTAAGTTCAAGGGAGGGTAAACTCTGCTATAAGAATCCGAAATCCTGCAACCTATTAGCTGTCAACGCAGGGAAACCAGAGTCAGTGGAAGAGATGTGGATGCAAATTTTGAAAAACTTATCAGAGCAACAAAAGGCGCTGATAAATAGTGATTTTATTATAACCCGAAAATGATGTAGTCTCAATGTATATGTTTTGCTTTAATGTTATTCTCGTATTAAAATTAAATACAGTGCAGTACGGGCTGATCAATTCGGCTTATTTCTCATGAGACATATACCCCCACAAACCACATCCCGAATGGGTTTAAATTCCAGCACAAGGTTACTCGACAATCCTATTTCGCTTCTGCTGGCCAAGCTGTCTAAGAAGGACTTTCAATAAAATTTTCGACGACTCTCCCTGAACTTCGTGATGGTTGTTTGGATGGTGTCTGTTCAGATTTGTTTAATGTAGCTGATCGGCGGCGCCATTAACGATGGTCATAGGGGCACATTTATGCGGCTATAGGTAAACGGATTGATGGGTTTCGGCAAATTTGTAGGTAGGGTGCTTTTATAAAATAAAGTGGCCGACCTAAAAAAATTGGGTACATTAGACATTTTGTACTTCCCCTGAACTAGGAATAGGTAGAGCGAAGGACCAAATGTATATTATTTTTCTCTTGGAATCCTGTGCCGGCTGATTTCTGTCCCAGTGTTTGACTGGTTAACAACCAATCCATTACAGTGTAACAAATTGATCGTGTTTATCCAACGAAATTAATTATGAGCGGTTAACGAGAGAATAGCAGAAGATTGCATAAAAACTAATTGTGTCATAAACTAGGCTATCCAAAATAACTGCAAACGTAAACATAGGGTAATCGCCTAATGTAGAACCTTTTTATCAACTGTTAAGACTAACCAGCAGACGAACAATATTTTCAGTGTTTTTTGAAACATTAAATCAACTGTCCGAATTTTAGGAAAGATCCAAGATTAACGAGATGTAACGTATTTTGTTTCATCAAACCACATAGAATTGCCAACAATGGTACCTAGGAGACGTTTGATTGAACAATTAAAACAGACACGTCACGTCAACCCCCCCCCCCCCAAAAAAAAAAAACAACCTTTGCTCCAAGTACAGCAATGATTAGAGAGGTATTTCTCGGGCATTAATTTAGGGATGTGGCAATAACAACATATTTACCTGAATTAAAAATGTGCAGGGTTTTTTCGTAGGCGAATTGAGCTGAAAAATTCATTTTTTGCAAAATCTTTGACTAAGCACTATTTTCGGCCATTTCCAGGTGAATTTCGATTTTTTTTTCTCACCATATTGTATTAGAAACACTTCGAATGGGCCTTCTAGGGTGTCCTTTTTAGGGGTTTCCGGCACGACAAAAACGAATACAATATCATTTGGATTTTCGAAAATCCAGTATGGTGAAAGTCCGAAATGGCGGAAGACCTTTTTTTTTCATCAACTGAATACAAATTTAGATTTCATATACCGTGTAATGTCCTTTACATTACCGTGTGCCAACCGAAAAAGGGACGAAACTCGTTTTTTTCTGAATTAGCTGTCACAATTTTTTCATCGACTGAATAGAATATTAGATTTTATATACCGTGTAATGTCGATTTTATGAACAGGCTGTCACAAATATGGCGAAAAGTAGGTCTTACATTATGGCCTCGTATCGGATTCCTGGAATTGATACCGGTTCCATTCAACCGAAAACAGCCAAGGCTCCGATGCATGGAAAGTTTGTCACACATAACATTCAAGGTAAGATCTCGTTTGAAATTTTGCAACTTTTTTTCGTGGAAGATGCGCCGGAAATAATCTTGCTAAATTATGGATGAATTATTCCTTTATAAGATCCACCTTCATTTATTTCCGTAAGTGGACGTGAAAGTCGTAAAAATGCAATTTTTCTGAGATGACCGAAATTTTATTGGGCATACTGGGGGGGGGGGGGCTAGATGGCCGAAAGGTTAGCACGTGCGCGCTGTATCATAAGGTCTGTCATTGAGTCAACTGGCGTGGTTTCGAATCCCTGGTTGTACGTGACAAGGAGTACGGTTGCCTGTCCAACCGCGTGGGTTTCCTCCCACTGCTAAAGACCCCATGTGTTAGTCCCGAAATGACCTAGCTTGTGTCAAGTGGACGTTAAACCCCATTTCTCTCTATATATATCGGCCATACGGTAATGGCGGAAGGCGTGTCAAATGTAGTCTTTATCATTCAGACGAATATTAGCAGGTACTGCTGACCAAGACTATATCAAATTAGTTAGATGACCGTTAGACACATGCTAATGCACGATATACTTGAACTAATAACAATTTTAATTCTTTGAGACTGGATTTGTTATTTACAAATGAAACAAAATTAGTTTGAATCGTATGCTTTATTTATTTCGTGTTAAATAAAAATATTCTTAGTAGCGCATCGCATATGCCAGTCTTCATTTCATAATTGTCAAAAAAACCCAACAGAAATGAGTAAGACAAGAGGTTAACCCCACGCTGCTTACCTATGAGTATGTAAAACCAGCTACAAAAATAAAAGTGCTGGACCGATTTTTAAAATGTAAACCGATTGATGATTCTCGGGTGTGTCTGTGCAAAGTTTCAGATCCCTGGTTGGCACATGCTATTTATAGGGTTTGTGGGTTGACAAGTGCTGATACAGTATATTTTACCAATTTCAGTGATCCAATATGGTGGAAATCCCGTACTCCGACAGAGAATCAAACAAGTCTACTACGCCTTAATCTTTCCACACAAAGATATGATTGGAAGAGCTAGTCCCTTTCGGAACGGTCTCTTATGATCGACCGACCATTCTTGTTCGTCCCTATTAAGCTGTAATATGAAAATATTGTTCCTTTAGGAACGGTCTCTGATCGGAGGATGTTCTCTCGCCACCATTAAGTTGCAATATGAAAATGCCTCTCTACCCTCACCTTTGCTCTAAGGCCATTTTGGGATCCTTACCTTCTATTTACCACAGTAAATTTAGTAATTGAAATGGAATCAACAGGTCACAATTCTATGGAATACAATTACTGCTTATTACTGAGCTTGATAATGACTAGAGAAGCCTAGCCGAAACGTCGCTCAGTAATAAGCAGTAATTGTATTCCATGGAATTGTGACCTGATTATTCCTTGACACAGGTAATTTTTAAGACTGTTTCAAAATTGCCAAAATATAATATTGAACACAATGTTCTCTTGTATATATCTCTGACACACAGTACAGAAGTCCGAGGTTTACTTAAAGGACAATATTGGTGTCACTCATTATTACATATGTGATAGAACTGGTTAAATACATTCCAAATATAATTTTAACATAGAGATCATTGCTACGGGAGACTTGTAACAAGCACGTGAAGAAACGGGAAGTGACGCAAAACATGACCAAACACGAGTTGTCCTTCTATATAACAGACTGAAGTAACGAGCGGTAACAGACAAACGATCGAATTTCATTTCACTGATAATTCCGTTGAAGTTGAAAAGTTATTGTATGGGACGGTGAGAGGGTATCTCACAATTCAAAAATAGAATTGGCTGTCACTAGATAAGGGACACGAGAAAAAGTAGAAAAATCCCGTGCATTCCGCCGTTTTTATTCATTCTGTCCCCCGTTTTTATTCATTCTGTTCTTAATAAAAAAAAATGGTAATGCACGGACTTTTTCTAATTTGTTCGTTATCTTTTATCTACTGACAGCCAATTCTTTTTTTGAATTGTCAGATATCCTCTCATCGTCTCATAAAACAACTTTTCATCTTCAACGGAATTATCGGTGAAATGAAATTCGATCGTTTGTCTGTTACCGCTCGTTACTTCAGTCAGTTATATAGAAGGACAACTCATGTTTGTCATGTCTGACGTCACTTCCCGTTTCTTCACGTGCTTGTTACAAGTCTCCCGTAGCAATGATCTGTGTTAAAATTATATTTGGGATGCATTTAACCAGCTCTATCACATATTTTATGACTGACACCAATACACGACTTCCAACGCTAGTTTCTAAGAATTATCGAAACGTCAGTTTGTTAAACGGGCCACATTTAAACCCTTAGCCGGCCGGATGTTTGACAATCCAGGTCTAGAATTTAACCAAGCTGTTCGTTATGAATTCTAAACAAATCGAACGAGAGTGAGTTGGGTCGTTTGAAATTTTACGCCAGGGTGTAGGGTGTGCACGTTTTCCTTGATATAATTTTTTAAAAGCGTGATACTGCATTGGCTATAATGAGGAAAGACATTACCTTATAATGCTTCTAAACGGCATAAGACGGAATTTCAGCAGGATTGTTCTTAGATGTGTCCAACATGTAGAGACGGATTAAGTGACAACAATAGCCCCAATAGGTGTCACTGGGAATGGGGTTTAATGTCGACTTTAAGGGCGTTCAGTAGTCTAAGATACGCACTAAGTTTTCAACACCAATCTTATTATGACTTTGCACACTTGTTCCATGTGTAAAATAACCTAGAGGACACATAACAGTCCGACCGTTTGTTGTGTAATAATGGAGATACAAGCGAAAAGAAAAAAGCTATTTATAGCAAACGAGAGTTTTCCCCAAAATAGATCATTCTTGGATAAATTATGAAGTCGTATGCACCGCTCACCTATAATTTTATTATTTGATCGTCAAAGACAGCTATTTTTGAATGTATAAGATGATTTTTAGAGCGGCCGAGTAGTGCACTGAAGTAGATACTTTTTACATCAGAATTGTTGTATTTTAAAACTTGTTGTGGACGTATTCAAAGAATTAACCCAAAATCCCGTTTGAAGATAAATAATGAAGAACGGATTTAAAATACTTTGAGTTAATATTTTCCAACGTTTTTGGTGTCGAAATGTAGCTTATAACCCCTACTTTCCATCTACAGGTGTGGTTATCGATATCTCTTTTTAGCATGTACTAATAGAATTTCCAAGAAAACTTACCTCTTTTTTCTGCGTCTCCAAGGATAACAGACAAACCACAGCCTATAGTCAAAAATTGACCAGTGGCTTGTTTGGACATTATGGATAATGGCCGAAGACTGTCCATTATGTAAATAGAAATAACAACTGAGGGCGTTAACCCCGAAGTTTTTCTTTGTATTTGAATGATGGACAGTCTGAGGCATTATCAAACTTAAAACATAGCACTATTGAGATACAAATACTGGATAGTTTTCTAAAACAAGCCAAAATATAATGGATATATTTTTAAAACAACATGCACATGCCCATGAATGCATGTGACAAAACACTCCAGTCATACAATGCAAGCATACACAGACAGTCCAAAATACTCGACATGGAGACGCCATGTTTATAACATGGGCGGATCTAGGAATTTTAAAAAGGGGCGGGGGCGCGCCGCAAAATGAGGGCACTGACCGCGGATACGGGGAACGACGCTGAGAGGATTTTTTTTTTTTTGGGGTGGGGGGTCCCCTAAGAAAATTATCCGTCATTCCTTTGCATCTGTAGCCTTTCCAAGAGCTTTTGGCTGATATTTTCGTCTAACTCTAAGTAAACATTCGGAAATCGAGCGAAAATGCCAGTTGAACATGCGACTCGAAAGTTGTCAAGGCGAGCGAGGCATTATGATGGGAAAAAAGACGAATCTATTCCCTAGCCCAGTGATTCTCAACCATTGTGCCGCGGCACACAGGTGCACCGCGAGATCTTCCTAAGTGTGCCGCGAAATTTCGCACACTAAGACAATTTCTCACTAAAAAGAAGTAAGTTATTTAACTCATGAAATTCGTAACACAGCAATAAAGTAAGTTCATAACCGTGTTTTCGTGATGTAGTTTGAGTCATTCTATGTGTCTATGACTAGTCTGTGTCTACGGTTGTATGCCGTCTATGACTTGCCATGTTTCTATTTTGCAAAATTAAAATATTTTTCATATATATTTAGCCAGGTGTGCCGCTATTTTTCCATGTGTTCCAAGGCGTGACTTTGGCAGAAAAAGGTTGAGAACCACTGCCCTAGCCACTAACTTGTACTGTCCACACATAAAACAATGCTACATCAAGTTGCACTCATGCGCGTCGGTGATGGGCATGAGTGTATACGCCGTCGATTCCACAAGATGCTATCATTGATGTCTGTCTATAGTCACTCTATAGGATTAGGGCACCGTCAGGTAAACAAGAATTCGTTTGAAAGTGGAAGCATTAATTAGACCAGGCTGGTGTGTTTGAGTCGATGGTTTGAGTCATATGGGATCCCTGCAATGGGTTGGGAACGGACATATTTGGGTCTGAGAAAAGGCACTTTCAGCAGTAAAAAGGGCAAGTATATCACAGTCGAAAACAAATTTAATAATGAGAATATATTATGTGATAAGCATTTGGATACTGATTACATTGGTAATGTACCCGATATGGAAGATAATAGTCGCAAAAATTGTGACGTTCTTGATATGGGGGAATAATAGCCATCAAAGTTGTGATGGAAAGGCTGCTCACGAGAATGATTTAGATATTGATAATATTCTTAGTACTGTGGTTAGTGTGGAGGGTACTAGCCGTCCAAATTTTGGTTTAAAATTTAATACATACTCTGATATCAGTGACAGAACACAGGATCAAAGGCACAAACCAATTCACGAAATTCAATTCAAACTCAGCTCTCATTATGATGTAACGGTGATGTATTTGAACGTTTGTTAAAAATCGGATACAAATTTTGACCTGTATAGATTCTACAGGCTCAAAACACGTTTTTTTGTTCAATCAGGGGCCATAATCCAGGAAGTTACGGTCCGATATGCGTCAATATGGCAAAGAATTGAGATCTTAGGGTTATAAACACACATGTTCAGTTTCATCAAAATGGGCTAATAATTGTGACCTCAAGTGTGTACAGTCAGGGCCATAATCCATGAAGTTATGGTCCATACAAGCCAATATCGAAAGGATCCGAGATCTTTGGGATATACATGTATACCTATATCTCAAGTTATGACCTGTAAAGTGTCCACAAAGAAGGTGTGAAAATGTGGGCGTATAAAAACGTATCATCGATCTAGTGCCGAACGTACCATTAAACGGACAAGTGACATATAACGGACGGATTTAAGTAGAATTCTTTATGTAGACAAACACGTGAAATCAACATTCGGTCATGTGACATTTCTGTAACTATGAGGTTTTAAAGTAATTTCATGTTCCGTAATTTAAGTGTCTATTATTGTTATTTTCTTAAACAATCGTCTATTATTCATAAAACTGTCCATTATATATTAAAAATAATGGACAGTTTTATAAATAATATACGATTGTTTAAGAAAAGCGTACATTCTCCTATATACTGGTTAAAAACATCAAAGGGTGACGTCATAACTATGTGTTAATTGCTATTAGCACTGTTCATGCCACATTTAAAGAAAATCCATACAGGCACCCTTTATTATCATGCTTTTGGGCCAAGTTTGGAACCTAGTTGGTAAATAAAACTGGTATTGTTTGGTGATTAATATGTAGTTTACCACCTAAAATAAAAAAAAAATGTCATATCTTATAACAAAAATTACAGTTCTAGCTTTAAAATGTGCATTTTAGACTGGTCAACGCCCTTAAACTAGGTACACGTGTTCACAGGCATTCCAGAATTGTGTTTGATTTATCTATGATATACATGTAACTGGCATTGCTCCTAGATTCAATCCGGGCATGTTTAGGTCCTTAAGGTAAGAATTGTATGTAAAAGGTGCTTTGATAATTAAAATGATTACCTCCTCCCTTTTCAGGGTTGTGTTTTGGTTTTACATCGTTCATCAGTATTCTTAATCATGGCTACCATCTTCCTCGTTCGTAAGAGATCGTTTTATTCCTGTGTCATCTTTGTAATTGCGGTACTCAGCTATTATGTGTACCTTTCCTTGTCATCAGATGATCGGGCAAATCACCTTGCTGCCACATTTAGAAGAATCAATCCACCTGGAGATACGGTTACAGTCATGGTCAATACTAATATAGCCCGCAAAAAGAATAAATCCAACATCTTACCATTCAAATCAACCTTGGACTATAAAATCTCAACTTATTATCGAAAACGACCATACCATGGGAAACAAACTCTATATCCATTAACTTTAAATAGCCCTTACCTTATAAACAGTCCAAACGTGTGCAAGAACGTTAGTAACTTAGCCTTCTTAACTATCGTTCACACCGCGACACATAACTTCAAAAAGAGGCGCATCATTCGTGAAACGTGGGCGAATAAAAACCTGTTTAAAAACATATCAACTCGGGTGGTATTTGTCTTTGGATTAACTAAAGATAAAATTATACAGGCGTTACTCGAGAGGGAACAAAATATACACGGCGATATTATTCAGGGAGATTTTCTCGATCATTATAATAATCTGACGCATAAGGGCATTTTAGCTTTTAGGTGGATTTCTGAGTTTTGTAACCATTCCAAGCTGATTGTAAAAGTTGACGATGATGTCTTCGTGAACCCGTTCATGTTACTACAAGACATAATTCCAAAGCATAAAGACAGTAATAGGTTTATGCTGTGTCACTCACGCAGTTTGGGTTCCAGTGGAATCATGCGTGGAAAACTGTATAAATGGGGTGTAGAAAATGACGAATTTAGAGGATACAGAACATTCCCTGTTGTGCACTGCTATGGTTTCTTTGTTGTTATTTCTCCAGACATAATTGAATCTCTATATCGTGCGTCCTCTTTTACTCCATTTTTCTGGATTGATGATGTTTATCTGTATGGCTTGTTGCCGTTTCAGATAGGGAATGTGAACCATGAAAATATACAAATGAACATGTCGCGGAACAGTTACTATGGCAAGCAGTGTTATCGCGATTCAAACCCATGTCATTTAATGGTCATTACTTCTCCGGATATTGATACACATGAAGAAATATGGAGAATGCTACTGAAAAATTTAACTAAAGAACAAAAGACATTGGTTAAGGATGAATATATATATTAGGTGGCAGTTGGTTTAAGCATGTGCTATGTCAAATGAGGGACATCGAGGTTATTCACCACTATCAATACTACCTTGGATATTCCTACTGATATCTAAGCTTATTATGAAATAGTTATAATTTATTTCAGGGATCCCCCTACACGAGCGGATATAGGAATATTTAAAAAAAACAGAAACCAGTAAAAGAACGTAGAGTTACGTGACAGATGATGGACAAGGCTACCACTCTAGGTCCGTCTCTAAAACATTAAAGCTAAATAATAACTTTCGATTCCTTTTCGTTTTACTACATTTTAATCTGACACCATTCCTATCACGGCTATATTCCGTTTGTGTGGGTTCTGTATACACCAGCCAAACCCGTCACAATTTGCGTATTATTGCCGTTCGAAGAGAGCAGGCGACTATTAAAATGGGTTCGACCGTCTGTCCGCCACACTTTGTGGGACACAATAACTATTCTTCTAATTGAGCTAGAATGTTCGAACTTGGTGTATGTGGTCAATGCCTTGATGGAGTGATGAAACTAGGTGTATAGATTTATTACATCATACCTCGACTAAGTGCGATAATGAGCATTTTCTGCTCAGGGTAAGCTGGGCGATAAGCAATTTGATTGGTCAAGACTTTGGAACACAATAACTCTCCTTCTAATTGAGCTACAACGTTTAAACTTGGTGTAGGTGTGTGTTAGCTCAGTGCCTTGACGGAGTTCGAAGATGAGAATTTTCTGCTTAGGGAAAGCAGAGATAAACAATTTGATTGGCTGATGCTTTGGGACACGATAACTTTAGTTCTAATTAAGTGAGAGTGAGGACACTTGGTGTATAGTTTTATCACATCGATACCTTGACTAAGTTCGATAATGGACATTGTCTGTTCAGGGTAACCAGAGCGATAAGCAATTTGATTGGTCGAGACTTTGGAACACAATAACTCTCCTCCTAATTGAGGTAGAATGTTCAATCTTTGTGTAGGCGTTCATTAGGTGAATGCCTTGATGGAATTAGAAGATAAACATTGTCTGCTTACGATAAGCAGACATAAGAGATAAGCAATCTGATTAGTTGATGCTTTGGGACACGATAACTTCGGTTTTTATTATGTGAGAGTGATGAAACTCCCGAGTATAGATTCATTATATCATTACCTTGACTAAGTTCGATGATGAGAATTGTCTGTTTAGGCTAAGGAGCGATAATCAATTTGATTGGTCAAGACTTTGGAACATAGCAACTCTGCTTTTAATTGAGGTAGCATGTTTAAACCTGGGGTAGATGTTCATTAGGTGAATGTCTTGACTGGGTTCAATGATTAACATTTCGAGCTAAAGCTAATGCATTTTCATTGGTCGATGCTTTGGGACACGGTAACATTGATTCTATCTGATAGACAGTGATGAAACTTAGTGTATAGTTGATAATCAGCTTGATTGCTGGATACGTTTGAAAAAAAAAATAATGTGCGATTAATTAATATGTGTCATCTATTTATTTTGGGACCATACGACCAGTTTAATTAGTCAGCACGTTCCCGTGGTCAGGTCACCGACTTTAAAAAAGACATTAGACCGAAAACATATTAGACAGGAAGAGGTCTTTCTGAACTAATGCCATGTTACCTATTGTGCATACTTATTTGTATTAGTGTAATAATATAATCCCTTACGATGTCAGAAATATTTTATCTGTGGCTGTACATTGGGTACAGGTGCGCTAGTGTACACTGATTTTAATAATGTACCTTGCCGAGAAATGAACTGCAAGCGAACAGGGGGTAATAACATCGTAATATGTTCTATGATCTTCGGTGGGGATAATAAAATATGCAACAGAGGGCTGTGATAAGCTTTTAGATTTAAATTACTTTTTACCCTCACGTTTATATTGCCACATTGTTGTCGATATGTGTTTTCAAATTGTTACCACATGTCCAGCTTACAACTCATACCTGGCAATTCTAAGTTTTCTTAACAGTGGAGGGCCCGGAGAAAACCCACGAGGTTAGACAAACTCGAAACCGCTACGCCACTTGACTCAATGACAGACCTTATGGTTTGATGCACACGCGTTAAACAATTAGAGGACCCAACCCCTATCATGTAAATAGTAACACTATAATGAGATAAGTAAGATGAACCGAATCAGATGCTTGGGCCAGTGCTGACTAGCATTGGGTTCAACTGGCCAGCCATGATTGTTATACTAGTATGTTCTTATTTTTCAGAATCATAATAAGAACAACAACTTCCCAAAAGGTGTAACCGATCACTATGGCTACAATAAAATTGCTTCTTAAAACAACCATGTATACATTTTTCATCTCCACTGTCGTACTCTTAAGTTATTTAATTTGTTCGCAGATTTTAGGAGGTGGTACAATTTTTGGTGAAACCCTTGTAAATACCCATATACAAAACGCTGAGGTTGGTGGCGATCCTTCTGGAATTCTACAACTCGCTATGACAACGGATACAAATGAAGCATTACCTGTAATCAAGCACATACGAAAACATCGTGGCAATAAAACTCGATACCCATTAACATTAAGCAGTCCATACGTGATAAACAGTCCCAACTTGTGCAAAAACGCCACAAACTTGGTCTACATAACTATTGTCCACACCGCTACTACCCACTTCAAGAGGAGACGGATAATTCGTAAAACGTGGGCAAATAAAAGCTTATTTAGAAACATATCAACCCGGATCGTATTTGTTTTTGGTTTGACCAAAGATATAAAGATACAGGCGTTACTGGAGAATGAACAAGTTATACACGGTGATATTATTCAGGGAGATTTTCTCGATCATTATCATAATCTAACACACAAGGGTGTCTTAGCGCTTAGATGGGTTTCTGAATACTGTAACCATTCCAAAGTAATTGTTAAAGTTGATGATGATATTTTCATGAACCCTTTTCTGCTTCTGCAAAATATATTACCAAAATATGAGAATAAGAAACGCTTTATTCTGTGTCGCGCACGGAGGCCGGGCACAACTTTTATATTTCGTGGCAATTTGCAAAAATGGAGCGTACACAAAGATGAGTTCAAGGGATATAGCAATTACCCCCATCAGGACTGCATGGGATTTTTTGTTATTATTTCGGCTGACATTATTGAATCGTTGTATCACTCTGCCTACTTGGCGCCATTTTTCTGGATCGATGACATTTATCTGTTTGGTATTCTGCCATCCAAAATAGGTAACGTAACGCATACAGACATACGGGATACGTTTACCGACATAACGTACGGTAAACAGTGTTACACAAATCCACAGTCGTGTAATGCAATGGTGATAATGGCTTACAACTTAGAAGAAACTGAAGAAATATGGATTAACATTATGAAACATTTAACTAATGAACAAAAGGCTATGGTTAATGAGGACTATCTGTTGAAGGTACATAGTAGATAATCTCAGTGTTCATCCCTACCTAAATATTGGGAGTGAACCTCTTTGTTTTGGGTTTGAAAAAAAACTGTATTAAGTTACGCTAATCGGTTGTATTTGTACCTAAATATTGGCACTGAACCTCTTTGTTTTGGGTTTAAAAAAAATGTATTAAGTTACATTAATCTGTTGTTTTTGTACGAGTAGTGATCGGGCATCTACACGATTATTTTGTCTTCCCCAAATATTTCAAGCAACGGTCGACAAAATATCTCAACATTATCTTTACCTGTTCTTAAAATTTTGAACAAAACCAAACTGTCATCTCATCAATTCAATCAACATAAACACGTGTGGTTCTAATTGGTTCGGTATTACAGTGTAACATAATTGTTACTTTATAAACGTTATGTTCCCAACATGGAAAACGAAAACTACGTTTCAATATGGTTATGAATAACCAACTCAAATTGGTAACATTCATATGATAAAGTGGGCCTATAATATGTTAGAAACACATTTAATTCCTTCAATTAATATCGATTAAAAATTGGATACAGTCAGATTGAATATATACTATTCAAAAAAAGTAGGGGATATTTGATTTTTAAGTGTTATTAAAGTCACCTAATGAAACTGACGAAGAAACAAATGACAAAATGAAATGAAGTTCACATTCATCGATTTATTCCAAATGATCGTTAGACTAAGTAAGGCACAGACTGACCATTATAAGGGTAAAATGATACCCGGGGTCAAACAGCAAAGTTACCACAGCATCACAACCAAGTCAGTAACGGGTAAATCCTCCTCTGTTTGCCAAACAAGCATTGATCCGACGTGGCATACTCCTAATGAGACGTCTAAGGTCATTTTGGTCCAGATTGTCCCATTCCTGTTGCAACGCAGCAGCAAGTTCTTGGACATTGGCAGGACGTTGTTGACGTAACCTCTGTCCAAGCATGTCCCAGACATGCTCGATGGGGGAGAGGTCGGGACTCAGTGCTGGCCAAGGTAATGTGGTGATGTTCTGTTGTTGGAGGTAACCTGTAACGATCCTGGCCCTGTGACATTTTGCGTTGTCATCCTGGAAGATGAAACGGCGGCCATGACGTCGTGCGAACGGCACAACATGGACTGCCAAGATGTTGTCCCGGTAGTACTGGCCTGTAACACGCCCTGCAACAACATGTAAAGCCGTTCTTCCAGCAACAGTGATGCCTCCCCACACCATAACAGAACCACCCCCAAATCGATCATGTCTGATGACGTTAACGTCTTGGAAGCGCTCGTTTCGACGACGCCACACCCTCCTACGTCTGTCCAAAAAATCAACAGTGAACCTTGACTCATCTGAAAACATCACATTGCTCCAGCGTCGATTATCCCAGTGTTGACGATCCCTACACCAACGACGTCTTGCCTGAATGTGATGGTCTCTCAAACAAGGGATCACGCGAGGACGTCGGGCGCGAAGGTGACCCATATGCAGTCGATTCCGAATCGTCTGGCCACTCACTCTCACACCAGTGTCTGTTTGAAGACGAGCGCTGATCTGATTTGCTGTGATGACACGATTTTTCAAGGCCAAGGTACGGATAAATCGATCCTGGGCTTGAGTTGTCGCCCTTGGTCGACCTGGGCGTGGTCTGTCCTGTACAGATTGTGTATCACGGTATCTGGACCATAGCCTGCTTATGACAGACTGAGAAACATTCATCGTCCGCGCCACAACCGCCTGTGTTGTGCCGATCTGTAGCATGCCAAGGGCACGTAACCTTTCATTTTGGGTAAGCCGACGCATATCAATATTTGTTTTCTGGTCACTAAAACAAATAAACTGATGTTTCCACCCTGGAATTCAATGCCACAATGATGATCCCAAGCATCACCTGCATTCCATGCGGTAGCTATTGGTGCGTTTGGGCGTCACATGTAACTGGAAATGTTTCTTCTGTTAGGTTCTATAGTGACTTTTTTCGTAGTCATTTGCATATTTTAGTATTATGCCCCCAAAATCAAATATCCCCTACTTTTTTTGAATAGTATATAGATTGAAGAGAAATAATTATATACTCAGCCAAATTAAAAACTTGACACTCGGGATTTTTGGGACTAGATTTTTATTATTTGGTTTAAGGCAACTATTTTAGTGTTACGTTGTGCACAGACGACCTTGACATGAACAGAAAGCAAGAATACGTCTCGCCGAAAGTCCTTGACATTGACAGTGTTCGTGATGTCACAGTACCCCTCAAAATGAAAATCACAGACTTGGAGAACAATCGGAATAAAGTGTTTAGTAACGGTTGTGGCCTCCTCTAGCGCCTCGTACTGCCACACAACGTCTTCTCATGGATCTCAGAACATTAGTAAACACTACCCGAGGAAGACGTCGCCACTGCTCAGCAAGAGCATGTTGAAGGTCCTGCAACGTCAGTGGTGGATTCACTTGCTGACGAACACGTCGACCCAGTTCGTCCCAGATGTGTTCAATAGGATTGAGGTCGGGGCTAAGCGACGGCCAATCTAGGACTTGGACACCGGCATTTCTTAAAAAATTCTGGGTAGCAATTGCTGTATGGGGTCGAGCATTGCCTTGTTGAAACGTTAGTCCAGGCCCATGTCTCTGCATAAACGGAAGAACAGGTTGCAAAATCTGATCGTTGTACAGGACAGCATTTAAGTTCCCTTGGACAACAACAAGAGGAGAACGTCCATGTGCACAAAAAGAACCCCAAACCATGACGCTGCAGCCACCAAATCGGTCAACGTCTCTGACGCATACTTGAGCGTAACGTTCACCTCGTCTGCGGTACACTCGGGCCCTGCCATCGGCAAATCTCAAAGTGAATCGAGATTCGTCACTAAAGACAAAAGAATTCCACTGTCTTTGAGTAAAGCTTATGTGTCTTGTGGCCCACCCAGGTCGGTTACGGCGATGAAGAGGTGTCAATATTGGTCCATTATAGGGCCTCCGAGCTCGAAGACCAGCAGCCTGCAAGCGATTTCGAACAGTTTGTGCAGTTACCCTTCCACCAAACATCTCTCTACTTGTGGAGGTTGCAGTGACAAATCTGTTTCTAAGATGACGTAATCGTATTGCTTGATCGGCAATAGATCCAGTTTGAAGCACTCTCATTCTAAGATTATTTTTTGTCTGGCGTGAACAATTAAAGACTTTTGCAACAGTGACCACAGATTGACCAGCATAGAGCCTACCTATAGCACGTAGACCTTCTACATTTGAAAGGCGCGGCATTTTCTAACAAAGATGAAAATAACAATTTTAATTTGTTTTTCCAGTTCAAGTTACGTGAGCGTATTCAGTTTAAGCAAACTTGCATCGATTGACCTCACGAGTTTGTGTTTGCACGTGTTTTTCAGGTTTTTCATCTTTATATGCTCCAAAGTCACTTGATCCACGTGACTTTTCAAGGCTTCTTACTACTTATTATCGTTAGAAACACTTAAAAATTTATTTGACTTACCAGTGTCAAGTTTTTAATTTGGCAGAGTATATTTTGCGATACGTTTGCTAGTTTGTAAAATGTTCCAGAAGTGTTTAAATACGGGGTAACTTAGAAATATTTCGGCATTTCTTGTCGCTACTAAAGAAAAGTGGATGAATTTTTAAATTACTTTCGATGGATTTGAAAACTGTCTGGATATGTGTTCTCTTATAGAATTCATACAACTAAAAAGGTACCTTTAGCGTATTGACATTTTCGATTAGTGTGCACCAAACTGGATAGGTTCCGTTATCAAGTGCCAATAATATCCATTTAGAACTTGGGTCCGTAGGCAAGAAAAGAAAATGTCGTAACACTGCTCCTGTAGGTCCGGCCTATTCCAAAATAAATCAATAGGTGCTGGTCTCCAGGGTAGAGGCAACAAGTGTGCTTAGTGCAATCCTGTTATTGAAATCAATATGTTCATTGCAACCTGTAGAGTATTCAGAGGAACAAACATGTCGTTCATGCACCAAAATCGAAAGTTTTCGTTCTTGGAAGAAATAATTATGCCACGTTCCAAGATGTGTACGGCCAACTGGCAATATGTCGATTGGGCAATCGTCAATCAACCATAACATGCACCCGGGTAATGTTTTCTTGGATGTTTGCTATTGGTGGCCTTCCGGGACGTGGGTCATCTTCGAAGCCCTCTCTCTGCCACGCTTAAAATTCTGCAGCCCACTTTTTT